TGTATGTGTGTGTGCGTATCTATCTATCTAAAACCCTGTATCTGTTGCTAAAAAATGAAAAAAAAAATGTGTTTTAAAGTGAGAGGGTAGCAGTAGCAAGGCCTTGATGCACATCACAAGTAATAAAACATCTACCTGATAGCTGAAGACATAAAATGCAGGTAGGGATTCTCCTACCATTCTAGTGGAACCCTGATATTAGTGCTCAGTGTCTGCCCCACTGCACGGCTTCCCGTAAACATTTTCTTCATACAGCTTTAAATGAGAGTTTCCCTTTTTGGTTCCTTCTACTGTGTTTTATCTTCATATGTTGTCTATGACTAAAGTCAGATCTTGGCTTCCTTTCTCGACTTATCCTTTCTGAGGGTCCTGGCTAATCAGTATTGGGCTATTACATACTTCACAAACCACATTCTTGCATTATTAGTTCCACATTCCAGTAGTCAGTTGTACTTGACATCTTCATTTGTTCATTACAGGATATCTTAATCTTAACATGATAAACATAGAAGTCTAAAATTTTAACAGATTATTTATTTATTAATTATGTATACAATATTCTGTCTGTGTGTATGTCTGCAGGCCAGAAGAGGGCACCAGACCTCTTTACAGATGGTTGTGAGCCACCATGTGGTTGCTGGAATTGAACTCAGGACCTTTGGAAGAGCAGGCAATGCTCTTTACCACTGAGCCATCTCTCCAGCCCCTTAACAGATTTTTTTATCACTTTAAAAAATATGAACTACAAGACAGAGTAAGAGCAAAAAATAGTCTCAATCCCTCCTGAAGTCAATTCATTAGCTGTTGTACTAGCATTGGCTTTAAAATAGAGCTTGAACATTAACTCTTCTCATTCTAATAAACCATTTGGCCCAAGTTATTACGTCTCACTTAACTATCCAAGGTCTTCCTTAATAGCCTACTTGCTTCTACTACTGCTTTCTTATAATCATTTTTTTAACATAGGACAATCACTTAAATATGTTTATCAGGACAATTAGTACAAATGACTCACCACATTAAACATAGAGTCCAAAGACCTTACAAAGGTTTATTAGGTCCTATTCAATCTGACCTGAACATATTTCTTCAACTTTATCTTCCACAAGTCTTTTTTTTTTTTTAAAGATTTATTTATTATGTATACAATATTCCTCCTGCAAGAACACCTCCATGCCAGAAGAGGGCACAAGATCTCATTGCAGATGGTTATAAGACATTATGTGGTTGCTGGGAATTGAACTTAGGACCTCTGGAAGAGCAGCCAGTACGCTTAACCTCTGAGCCACCTCTCCAGCCCTTCCAGCAGGCTTATAACATGTCATCTCTAAATTTCTTATGTATGTTAAAGCCCTTCCTGTCTCCAGGTCTTTGTTCTTTCTGCTGTTTCTTTTCCCAGTACACCTATACAGTTTAATTCACCCAGATCTGGAAATGTTACTGTCTCAGAGAGGCCTTTCTTTTATCCAACCTAAAACAGTACCCTTGATGCCAATCTGAACTTTACTCCAAGCTTTTCTTTTTCTGCTCATCACTCTCTGCAATTAAAAGTTCTGTTTCTATCTACCCCGTTACAATCTAAATATATAGAGGGAGAAACTTTAATTTGGTCATTATTTATTTGTGAAGTAGTTAGATACATTTAAAAGTACTTGGAGTTGGGCATGGTGGTGTACACCTAAATCCCAACACTCATGAAGTACTAGCAAGTGGACCTCTGTGAGTTTGAGGTCAGCTTGGTCTATATAATAAAAATAAGGTACCATGCATTTCAAATTCTTTTCTAAGGTGGTAAGGTATAAATACAGATTATAATATCACATAGCAGTTCTATAGCTAACTGTTATAAGGGAAGACTTCAAACTCTATATTAACTTTTCCATTAAAGCCCACCATCTAAGGTAGAGGTTTTCAATTTGTGAGTCAAGAGTTGGGGTCACATATTAGATCATTATGATTCATAACAGTAGCAAAATTACAAGTATGAAGTAGGAAGAGGATAATTTTATGGTTGGGGGTCACCACACCATGAGGAACTTGTACTAAAGGGTCAGAGAATTAAGAAGGTCGAGAACCATTAATCTCAGTCACGCATAGTGGAATCTATAGCCACACTACTCTACATCCACTAGATTTAAAGCAGAGCAGACAGAACAGTAAAAACATAGTAGAATGTTACAGTTATCATTCCACTCTCTTAGTCCAGCGGTCCTCCTTCCTGGTTCTGTTAAGGGTTACTTTTGTAGCTTAGCATATTCCAGTTCAGAACAATCAAACACACCTTCAATTTAGGGCAAGATACAGTTAAATAGAAAGTCACAAGACTGTACAACAATTTAGCCTCCTTACATCATGGCAATACCTGGGTTACAGAGCCCCTATATCTTTATCCCCCTTTGTCTGTCTTTCTCCCTGATACTGATGGTCTTCCATATCCTAGGCCAGTATCCCACCACTGAACTATTCTTTAGTCCTTACTATACTCCTAGTGCTATTATGGCAATAACATTCCAAAGGAAATTTATCCTTTCCTTCCAATGCCTATTTACTCTCATTACCGCTAACTCACAAAGCTGATTAAGCAAGCTCTGTATGCTTCTCATCTCTGTGGTCCATTAAATGTGGACATAAATCTTGCCTATATAATAGTTACTGTGAAGATTAATTAAAGAAAATGCAATTTAAGCACTTAAAATGCTGCCGTGGAGAGGTCTGCAGAGATGGCACAGTGGTTAACACTCATCACTTATGAGGACACAGGTTCAGTTTCTAGTACTGACATCAAAGTTCTCAACCTCCTATAACTCTAGTTAGAGGATCCAAAGCAGTCTTCTGGCCTCTGTGGGCATGTGGTACGCATGCGCACATTTAGACACATCTATTCATAATTAAAAAGATTCTCAAAACAAAACAAAAATAGCTGCTCTGGAGAACACAACAGGCAGCCAAGCTGTTCTTTACCAATTTGTCATTGAATCCTACCAAACTGATCTTTGAAATGGCTTTCATCTCCCTTTAGTGTTCCCCATAATAGGAATCAGAATAAGACAAGTTTATAACATGCTCTACAAGTCATCTATTCTTTACAGAAGTCTATGTGTCATAATATTGATATGGTTTGTGAAGGTTATTTCTAAGGTTGCAACATCAGTAACTCCTCATCAGGGTCTCTGTGCTGTCCTAAGTATTAAAGTACTGTTAAATGGGTGACGATGGTGCACAACTTTAATCCTAGAACTCAGGAGGCAGAGGTAGGCAGATGGGTGAGTTCCAAAAGAGTCAGGGCTGCACAGAGAAACCCTGTGTAGAAAAAACACCCTCCTCCCCAACACCATGGTTTTGGACCAAAGAATAAAAAAATTATTGTGAAACAATGCCAGTTACTTTATATACATTGTTCTAAATCTTGACAATCATACTATGCAGTTTCTTTCAACTTTTTAAAAGGAGGCTGTTAGGTTATGCAACTTAGTCAAAGTTAGTTAGGTAAGCAAACATTGGTATGTTTGACTTTTACACTGCCACCTGTTAGTAGAAACTTCTACAAATTGTCACTATTCATATTATAGTCTGACCCAGGAATTCCTAGTCTGAAGCCCCATGACCCTTCAGGTGAGTTTCAAGAAACCTTAGGAATTCAAGAGATGGTTACAAGATAAATTTTAAAGAAAAGGCAAAATGTACAAATACAAAATGAATGGCAAAATTCAGTGCCACAAGTCCATTTAAAGGAGCAAAGAGCAGATCAATATGCAGTAGAAAGTAGAAATGAATGCTAACAGACCCTGGTCAGCCCAGTAATGAATTACATCTTACTCGGGCAAATATGGTTTCCATTTTTACCCTCTCCTACAAGTTACAAAGTTGTAACATTGTTCAAAGACAGTGAATGTCATATTTTCTACTAGATGTAAACATTTTGCTTGTAAAAGCATACACAATATGTTTCTATGGGTACATGTAAAATTTTCAAAGAAACTTGGCCATGATACTTTTATTATTATTATTATTAACAAAAAGAAGTGTGCCAAAAAGATTGAGAACCAAAGTTGTAGTCATGACAAGACTATCCAAAGGGAGCAAAAGACAATGGCCTGGATCTTTGCTCCGAATGAACCTTCTAGTGTAAACATGCTTTCTAAAGCCATTCGATGTCCCACTAAAGGTAGTCTTCCAGAGGCCTTCCAGTCTCAGTGAACTGTCCTAAGCGCGCTCGGAATTTGACACTCATCGCTTAATGCCAGCTCCTCCCTAAAACGAGCTTTCCATAGGAGACTAAAAGGCCGGAAGTCTTGCCAAAGAAAAGCCTCAATTTTAGAATGCAAGTCCTCACAACTGCTGTGTTCTGGAAGACGAAGCTCAACCCCAAGCTGCCTAGCGCCCAGAGCACCGCTCAGCCACTGGACAGCCCCCCAGAAGCCGGGCGTGCCCCAAACCTCCCAACACTAAGCTCGGCTCGCCCCCTCCGTGCCGGGATGGGAACTGCAAGCGGCGCCAGAGCACTGCGCGTGCGCACCGAGCAGCAGAACCAACGGACTAGGGGTTAGGGGGGCGGGGTGAGGCGGACCACGGCGGGTGCGCTGGACCGCAGGGGACCGGCCGCCGAGTGTACACCTCACCGCGTCCGAGTGGCACTACCGGCCATCTGTGACTTACTCTGTTCACGTCCCCAAAGCCACGGTCAGCGACTGCCTCCTTCCACGCTTTCCGCCTCCCGGTCCTTCAGGTCGGCGTAGATTCGCGTCATCCGACGAGCGACGCGCTTCCCTCGGCTCCCTGTGGGAAGCGGCGTCCGAGCCGGGACTTCCGTCGTGACGTCATGGGCGACGCCCCTCGGGGGCGGGATCTGGCGGGAGACCGAGGCGGTGACCGCTCTCCTATGAGGAATTCCATTGGTGCTTTGCGGACGGCGGCGGGGCCGGGGGGCGTAGCCCTCAGCAATCAGTCCCTGGCTGATGACGTCGCTCGAGTTCGCGGGAGAAATTCGAAAGTGGATTCTGTGTTCCTGAGAAGCGAAGACTCTCTTCTACGGAATGTAGGGTGGAGAGGCCGGGCGACTTGGCACGGCTGGGAGAGCCTGGACCCTGATTCGCCTCCACGGGAGCGGCCCACGGGGCGCCGTTCGAATGCCGGGTGAGGCGGGTCACCATCGAGTCCCAGCCCGGTCATGGTTGTCTTAAGGGCTGACATAGAACCAAGGCTCCTGTTATTTAGGGTCACAAAACTCTGATCAGTCCGAAATTCTGCAAGTGGAAGTAATGTTTCTTGCAGTTATTTGTCCTGGTGGTGTCTTAACAGGATGCTCTTGGTTTGGGCGGTGCCAGGTAGCGAACCTGGGACTTCGGGCTAGCTCGGGTGCGCCCTCATTGAACTGCTGTAGCAGCTTTTCTCAGAAAGCACGGCTTCCCGTTGCCTTCACGGAAAGCTCTCCCTCTCGGCATAACAGAATAAGGTTGCATACATCCGACTACTGATGACTCCAGCCCTGTCGCTCACCTCGCCCTCGAATGCTTCTTTAGGGATCAGGTTTCAGCGCATTCTGTTTTCCGGGTTGGGCGTCACCACCACTGAAGAGGCCTTGTTAGAGTCGTTTGTTGAGCTCCAGAACCAGACTTTCTAATTCAGTAGGCAAGAATAGGACCTAAAATGTTCATTGCTGTCTAGTTCTCCTGTAGTGATGAGGTCATGGCCACGGAACCACTTGAAATGTACTCATTAGTGTGCTTTTTTGGCATCTCTATTCAATTCACCATCGATGATTTCAGATTTCAAAATTTGGCCATATTTTTTTTTTTTGATTTTTCGAGACAGGGTTTCTCCGTAGCTTTTGGTTCCTGTCCTGGAACTAGCTCTTGTAGACCAGGCTGGCCTCGAACACACAGAGATCCGCCTGCCTCTGCCTCCCGAGTGCTGGGATTAAAGGCGTGCGCCACCACCGCCCGGCTTGGCCGTATTTTTAATATTTAATCCAGTAACAGGATAGTTAAAGTAGCTGCTGCAACACTGTTCAAAAGAGTTTTCTTCCTCAGCTTGGTGGCCAGCTGCCTGTAATATATCCCAGCTACTCCAAAGGCCGAGACAGGAGAATTGTGCAACTTGGCCAGATCCTGTCTCAAACAAACAGAAAACTGGGCATGTGGAAGCATTATTACTTAGCTTACATAGGGCCCTGTTGTATGCCCCTAGAAGTGGGGAAAGAAAGAAAAGATGTTTCCTTGAAGAGGTATTATAATTATAATGCGTGTTTGGTCCTATGGTGGGTTACATTGGCTAAGGTATAAGTCAGCCTTCTGTAACTGGATCCAGCCAGCTGTGAGTTGGAAATATTCAGAAAAAAATTGGCAGTATTGAACACGTAGATTTTTTTTGGTTACAATTTCATATCTCCTTTTTTAGACAGGGTCTCTCATCTATGTACCCCTGGCTGTCCTGGAGCTGTCTATGTAGACCAGGCTACCAGGCTTGCCTTGAACTCACAGAGAACCACTTGACTCGGCTGCTTCTGCACTGGAATCAAAGATGTGTGTTATCCAGCACTTGGGAGGCAGAGGCAGGCGGATCTCTGTGAGTTCTAGGCCAGCCTGGTCTACAGAGCTATTTCTAGGACAGCCAAAGCTACATAGGGAAACCCTGTCTCAAAAAACAAAACAAAACAAAATCCCAAAAAAGTACACAAAAAGGTGTGTGCGACCAAGCCTGCCTACTTTCCTTCCTTCCTTCCTTCCTTCCTTCTTAATTTCCTTTCCTTCTTTCCTTCCCTCCCTCTCTCCCTCCCCCCCTCTCTTTGAGACAGATGTTTTAAACAATAGTTTAATCATTCTCTGTTTACATATTGCTTACAATGCATTAGTATAAGTAATCTAGAGATAGTTTCGTGTATGTTGGAGAATATGCACCTACTCCTATATTATATACAAAAACTATGACATTTTATATGTGAACTCATGTAGCCCTAGATGTTGGTTATTTGTGGTCCTGAAACTAGGCCCTAGATACTGAGGAACTACTCGAACAGGAAAAATGTAAGACACAAGGGGGCCATCTTGTGGTGAGTTTAATGCTTTAGGAAAATAATTGAATTTGAGTTCCGAGGAGCAAAACATTATTGAAGGAAAAAAAAATCCACTTTCTGATACATACTAAGGTACCTAGAGAGATGTTTACAGATTATTAATAAGTGTAGTAGTTTCATCTTCATCTTCCATTATGTGGTATCACTCAGTTGTGTCCTCCCCGACAGATACACTTTTGCTTCGCATGGTGGCTAGATAGACTGATAGTCTTAATTCTTTGGTTTCTGTCTCTAATCAAGATTTATTGAGAATCTTTGTATTTGATACTTACCGTTTTTGTCAGGGCTGATTGACCATTCTTTGCTGTTTTTCCTTTTAGAGCATATAAACTGTTGAGTAAAAACTGATTGCTTTCTGGACCTGACTGGTTTATAATTTCAGAAGGAACAATGGAAAGTCAAGAATTTATTGTAAGTTTTAATAATTTTCCTTTTTGTGGGGAGAGGGGTGGGGGATAGGACTCATGTATCCCAGGCTGGCCTCAAACTCTTGATGAAGTTTGATGAAGTATTTGGGAGTATTTTTTCTTTGGACCAGGAAACAACATTTTTTTGCTTTAAGACCTGTCACTGGTGACATTCCTGCCTATAGTGACACATAATTTGGTGTTAAACCCTTTTTGTACTCAAACATTATTGAAGACACTAAATAGCTTTTGTACTTAGAGCTTCTATCTATAATATTACTTATGTTAGGCAAAGAAACAGTTTAAAAATACTAAAAAGTAACTAATATGTTACATTATAATGTAAAGTACATTTTTAATGATAAGTAGCTAAATTTGCCAAAGAAATAACTGCACTAGGAGATAACATTTACAAGGGTAGCATTCTTAGATTTTGAAGACAATTAAGGCCTGTGTATATGCATATGTGTGTACGTGTGTGTGCGTGTCAGCCTTAGAAACACCACCCACCTCCCTTGAGACAGGGTCTCTTAGTGGTCTGGAGCTTACCAATTAAGTTAGATTGGCTGGGATCCTATGTGTTTTCTTTGTGCCTAGAATACATTATTATGTCCAGCATTTTATGTAGATTCTGGGGCTCAAAGTCAGGTCCTCATGCCTATGAGGCAAATGCTTTTCAGCTGAGCTATGTCCCCAAACCTCTGCATTGCTAGGCATTTTTTTTCCCCTAAATTTCTTTACCATTTGATTTAGTAATAGCTAGATTTTCATAACTTGTTTCTCTGTTCAGTCTGTGATTGAATCTGGCATCATATATAATGCTTGGAAACTCCATTCTTCCGCTAATAGATGGGGAGTCTAAAGGCAGAGGCAGTGTGAAATCGTTCTGTCCTCAGGTGCTGTGAAGGTGGGGTAGACTGTGTTCAGAGAGCTACATGAATAAGGAGTGTGTAACCCAATAATTGTTTTTCCTTCCCTCTGATGATGTGGCAGTTTAAAATTATTTTTGATGCTCTGTTAAGACTCTATAGGCCTCCACTTACCCTTTCTTCCTTTGCCTTTTGGTTCTACCCACCTAGTCAGCTGTCTTCCTTTCCTTAAAATTGTTTGTTTCCTTTTATTATGTTGAGGGTTAAACTCAGGGCGTCATGATGCTGAGGATGCGCTCTGTCACTGACTTTGTTATTGAGGTGATGCCTGTGCTATTATTTTGATACGGAATGTTTTATTTTTCTATGGCCTGTAAACTGTAATATTAAATGTGTAAATAGCAATGATTTCTTCTGTTCTTTTGGAAATAAGGTCCTATATACTCATCAAAAGATGAAGAAGTCAAAAGTGTGGCAAGATGGCGTTCTGAAGACCACTTTAGGCAACAAGGTGAGTGCTAAGCAGTTGACTCTGGTGTTTAACAGCTGTGTTCTTGCCTTTTCATTGAGCATTAGGATAACCCTGTTGATAATAAGATGTCAGTTATGGCCATACATTGCCATGGTGTGAAAAAGAAATTTTCAGATCATTTTCTTATGTTCTTTGTATATTCTGAAAGTTCAGTAAGTGAGCATTCCTCAGTCTGTTTTGAGTAGGGAGACTTACGATGTGCGGTCATATAGCTCTCAGTCTGCCAGTTTAGTCTGCACCACTCTCCTCTGAGTTAGGCATTTCATTATTTAACTGATGATCAACCTGGGGGGCACAGGTACATCATAGCCAGGAGTCCCAGATGAAAGTGCTAGAGTCATTCATGAAGTTAGACATGGCTCCAGGGCCTGTTTTCTAGGTAAGAGTCATTCATGAAGTTAGACCTGGCTCCAGAGCCTATTTCTAGGTAAGAGTCATTCATGAAGTTAGACCTGGCTCCAGAGCCTATTTCTAGGTAAGTCCATCCCTCATCCTTCCACCTCCCAAGGCAGGATTTCTCAGTTTAGCCCTGGCTGTCCTGAAACTTGCTCTGTTTACCAGCCTGGCCTCAAACTTAAGAGATGCCCTGCTCTGCCACCTGAGTGCTGGGATTAAAGGCGTGTGCCACAACAACGCTGCTCTAGCTAAGTCTTTTTTAATAATAACTCTTACAGAAACTTGGTTGTGGGTTTATGATATCATGTGCATACTAATGACAGTCATGGCCTCCTGATGAAGCACATGCTCTTAAGTGACGCTATTCAGGCCCTTCACATTCTGTCTTTATTCTGCTTCTGTCGTTGTAAATCAGGGCTTCTCAACTTTCTGAATGCTGGGACTCTTTAATACAGTTCCTCATGTTGCTATGACCCCAATCATAAAATTATTTTTGTTTCTACTTTATAATTGTGATTTTGTTACTGTTATTAATTGTAATGTAAATATTTTTGGAGATAGAGATTTGTTAAGGAGTTGTAACCCATATGCTGAGAGCCACTGTTGAAAAACTATCACTTACAGAAGCTTTTCAATAGGGAAGAGGTTATTTATTGTATTTTAAAAAAAACATTTGATTTGTTAAAATAAAAATTAGCTTACCAGTCTGGAGAGATGACTCAGTGGTTAAGAACACCAACTGCTCTTCCAGAGAACCTGGGTTCAATTCCCAGCATCCACATGTCAGCTCACAGCTGTCTGTAACTTCTGTTCAGGGGATCCAACACCTTCACACAGACATACATGCAGTCAAAATACTGATGCACAGCTGGGTGGTGGTGGCGCACGCCTTTAATCCCAGCACTCGGGAGGTGGAGGCAGGCGGATCTCTGTGAGTTTGAAGCCAGCCTGGTCTACAAGAACTAGTTCCAGACAGGCTCCAAAGCTACAGAGAACCCCTATCTCAAAACAAAAACAAAAACAAACAAACAAAAACCTGATCACATAAAATACAAATAAATAAATAATTTAAAAAATTAGCTTTGACTTAAGTATGCAAGTTCAATGTATGCCACTGTGTATACATACACGTGTATTATATATATGCATACACACAAATACATGCACACACACATATATATTTTTGTTTTTGAGACAGAGTGATGTGGGATTTTCCTCTGTATGCTGTGAATAGTATTGGTTAATAAAGGAACTGCTTTGGGCCTATAGCAGAGCTATAGGGGAAAAGAGCTAGGTGGGGAAAACTAAATGGAATGCTGGGGAAAGGAGGCAGAGTCAGAGAGAAGGCATGAAGCTCCTGGAGACAATGAGCTGAAACTTTGCTAGTAGGTCACGACCTCATGGTGATGCACAGATTAATGGAGATGGGTTAAATTAAGATGTAAGAGTTAGCAAATAAGAAGTTAGAGCTAATGGGCCAAGCAGTGGTTTAAATAATATGGTTTCTGTGTGATTATTTTGGGGCTGAGCAGCCAGAAGCCAACAAGTGGCCTCCTCCTCCTACAATAGAGTCTTAGGATATAGATCAGGCTGGCCTTGAACTCACAGAGATCTACCTGCCTCTGCCTCCCAAGTGCTGGATTACAGGCATGAGTCACCATACCTGATTTTATTTATTTATATGTTTATTTTGTAAATTTATAAAGAAGACATTGGAGTTGTTTCAGGCAATTGTGAGTCGCTGGACATGAGTTCTGGGTACAAAACTTAAGCCATCTGGAAGCAAGTGTTCTTAACTGCTGAACCATCTCTTCAGTCCCTGATTTCATTTTTTATTGGCCACACTCAATGCATTCTAATTATATTTTGTTCCCAATTCCATTCAAGGCTTTTTCTGGTAGGAATTATGTTTTTTTTTTATTTTTCTCTCTTTTTTTAAGGGTTTTGGGAGTGAGTATATATGTGTTCTTGAATGTATAGAGGCTATACATTGGATGTCCCCTATCCACCTATCTTTTGAAACAGGGTCTTTCACTGAACTGACTGGCCTCCTGTCTCTCCATCTCCCTCATCTCGCCTAGAGATGTAGGCTCATACCACCATGTCAGACGTTTATGTGCTAAGAACTGATGTCGGGTCCTTTTGCTTGTCCAAAAGTGCATTGCTGAGCTGTTCCCCTGAGCCTGAGTCCTTGAGTTGCTTCCTCTATTCCTAAGCTCTCGTGCTCATTGGATGCAGTAACATTTGAAAGAGATGTACTTACAATTCCAAGTTACAGAATGTATATAATTCTTTTATTACATGATTTACTTACGTGACAAATTTGATTTGCTATTGAAGATATTAAGAAATGAAGAGGAAAACTTTGTAACTTTTTTCTTGTTTTATAACAGGCAATTCTATATGATGACAAAGGAGCATGTTTGGAAAGTCTATTTCTTAAGAGCCTCGAGGTATTTTAATGTATTTACATTACTTTCCTTGAAATTTAAAAATTTACTTAGATACTTTATTATGAATGCTGTTAATGGCTAAGTTATAGTACTAATGCTGATTGATTATAGCCTGTATTATTGTTCATTTATTATAGTTGTACCTTGTGCTAACAGCTTTTAGTGATTTCATTTTAATTTTTGTGACAATGTTATGATGTGTTTATATTAGGGATGCAGCACAGAAAGGTTTAGTAGCTGCTTATGCTCATAGAATGCTAGTTGCAGGACATATTCAAACCCAGGTTGTGATTCTAGAATCTAATAGGTGAGGATTTGTTGTGTTGGGCATGGGACGATAGGCTTCATGTACATGAGGTTGTGTGTTCCACTATTGAGCTCTGTCTTTTTTTTTTTTAAATATTTATTTATTATGTATACAATATTCTGTCTGTGTGTATGCCAGCAGGCCAGAAGAGGGCACCAGACCCCATTACAGATGGTTGTGAGTCACCATGTCGTTGCTGGGAATTGAACTTAGGACCTTTGAACGAGCAGGCAATGCTCTTAACCTCTGAGCCATCTCTCCAGCCCCCTTGAGCTCTGTCTTTAGCCTTCATGGTTGATAGTCTTTGAAATTATTCCCTTTTAAACACTTTCTCAAAAAAAAAAAATACATTACACACATAATGTACTCAGTGTTTTTCTTGTGTTTGAAGAAGGAAAGGAATTGAAGGCCTTAGAACTGCTTTTGTCTCTTTTTAGACTCTGAAACACCTTTTATGCAGCCCATGATCTGTGTCCACTCCTTAGCTAGAAACATAGATCAGTATTGTTCTGAAGATTAGAAATTACCTATTATAATGTCATGCGTTAAAATTCATACTGCTAACATCACTTTGTGACTATTTGGCCATGAAATCTTATATCATTCATAGTGGTTGTTCCTTTAAATTTATGAAAAGAGGGTCAAGGGGAGACATTTTCTTGGTAAGTGCTTAATTAATGTAACTACTGTTATTTTTATCCTAGGTAATTTCATTACTAAATGTTTGATAAAGATATATTTTCTAAGCTGATAATCTTAATGTTTTACCTAGAGTTGGTGACTAATAAAATGACTGAAAAATACTCTTTTTTTTCAAGGCAAGTGGTTATGTATGTAACTATTTGTGATAATTGTGAAGTTCTGCTTCACATACATTTGTAAGGATACAGAGTTGATAACTAATGGCTTTGACTTTTTTAAATACTACATTTAGTTGCGTGGACTCTAAGTGAGTTATTTGAAAGGAAGCTTTCCACTGTCTTATGTTCTTAGCATATGACAGAGGGCCTCTGCAGCACCACAGAATGAATGGCTGAAGAACAAATTACTGACGCTTTTATTGCATTATTACCATTTTCTATTTTTGATGGTTAATTGGTACATAATAATGAATAGTTGAAGAATTTAGTTACTGACTGATTTCTTTAGCAAGGAGGTTGAATATTTGTTGGGTCTTGTTCAATGCTAGTGAGGCTGCTAGTGAGGAAAATAAAATGACCCAAATGCAATTTTGATGTTTATTTTTTAAAATCTAGGTGAAACCTGGCGATGACTTGGAAAGTGAGCGTTACTTAATCACAGTTGAGGAGGCTAAGGCTGCTGGAAGTAGAGGTGTTAAACTGGATGGCCCTAGAGAAGCTCTGGAGTCAGGTCCAAGGACATTTATATCCTCGAGCCGGTCTCTTGGGTGTCAGCCCTCTGGCTTAAAAAGGAAGGCTACTGTAAGTTTCTGTGTGAACACTAATATTTCAGTGTATAGTTAAAAAGTTATTTTTGAAACTGGTAAATTTTTATGATGGTTTGCTGGTAAAATGATACCTCATAGTTTATTTAAGTGATAAGACAGTAGATCCAAATTAGGAAAGTCTTACTAATGAATGTTTATATTTTAATTCAGCAAAATTTAAATACTATATACCTTGGGCAAGATATACATATCTGTTATTCTTTTTAGAAAATTTATTTCACATTTTCCTTAGAAATAATGGTATCATTAACGATTGTTTTAATGTCTTTAGGGTTTTCAAATACCATATAAGGCACCAAAGAAAGTGACTGTTACAGAAAATGGTGAATCTGTTGCCTCATTTGATGATTTGAAACCTGGCCCGACACTTCCTCTCCCGTTCTCCAGCACACTTCCTTTGTTTTCTACTGTTGGTGAGAAAGATATGAATTATACACTGGCAGTCAATGAGAATACGTTCAGGAACAGAGAGAGAAGCGACAGACCTTTTTCCCTTGTGTCTTCATCCTTCAGTGTTAACTCAGACATACTAAGGAGAGAGGACACGTTTTGCTCTCCTGTCACCTCTGCAACCCAGCATTCAGATGCTTTACTGGGCAGTGAGCACACAAGAAGTAATAGTTTGGAATCTCACTGTCCTGGAGTTTCACAAAACCTCAGGAGCAAAGCACAAATATTAGCTCTTCTGAAGTCCAAATCAGCCAACATGAGTAAGAATCTGACTTTTGAGATTCAACCACAGGGGTGCTCCAAGACTACTTCTAAGCTAGAGGAAGAGTATGCTGAGAGAAAGAGCTCAGCGAATTCACTCTGTGAGCAACAGGCAGAAAACCCCACAAGAGCTACAAGCCGGTGGACCATGTATTTACCCTCCCAGAGATCGCCTCCCTGTTCTCCTAGAGATGAGAATGGTACAGAGGACAAACCTGAAGCCCAAGGAGATGTGAACATTTTTAATTTGTCTGAACTTTTGGTGGAAAAAAAGGCAGAGCTCTTCGAAACATGTGCTGAAAAGGGAGAACTGTACCATGAAGACAAGCCAGTAGACAATAGTTGCCAGAGCTGGAATCACGAAGAAAACTTCGGAGCACCTCTGTTCTGTGAGAACAACAACTTACTGGTTAACTGTAGTAGTAAAGAAAATGTTGATTTATTATTAGAACCTGACATTCAGAACAATAACAAAGTAACTTCTAATCAAAATGACAAGGAGTGTATGGAAGCTTTGCTTTGCACTGGAGAAAGTATTCTGGTGGCAGATGCAGATACCACACTGGAACAAGAGTGTATGTCCTGTTTATCAGTGTCACCGTTGCCAGAAGTAGAACATAAACACATTGAAGTCGAATCTTCTCCAAGTAAGAACTCTAGCACCTCTGATGACATGGGTTCTAAAAGTGATGCTGATAGAGGAAGTCTGGTTACTATTCATAAATCTTCACAACCATTTCTGGAAGTTTCTTTTAATCTGAGCAATTTTGAGGACAGTGACACTGATGAAGCATCACAAGAGGACGACAAACTTTCCCAGGACTCAGAGAGAAGAGAAAAGGAAATTTTGCCTACAGATGATTCATGTGTTCTAAAGAGCTGTGGAGGTATAGGCTGCCAAGAAACTGCACGGCAACCCTTGCCATTCCCATCCCCTGCCAGTGGCAAGCCTAAAGACGTCCTTCCTGCTAACGAGACGCTGCTGTCAGAGTTTTGCGATAGAACCTGTGTTGGTTTTTACACAGGACCTCATGAAGATGCAAACCCTAGAGAAGCAGTGCTGGAGCGGGGTGGTGACACAGGGAGCAGTCTGGACTCATCGCAGGAGTGGAATGAGGATGTGCCAGGAGATAGCAGAGACGATGCTAATAAATCTATCCAAAGAGATGGGACTAATTATGGTATTGTTTCACCCTCAAATACACCCAAAGGTATAAATACATGTTCATATATTCCTTATTTTTTAAACACAGTCACAACTCCGGCTCCTGAAAATAGTGACCTCTTCTCAGAAGGTACCCAGCCTCAGCCTTTTACTTTGGGAAGTCACATAGGTAATGAGCAGCTTTTATCACCAGTCTCTACCAGTGGCGTTAGTATCCAGCTATTGAAAACCGCTCAGCATCACTCTGAATGTCGTGAACTAGATGAATCCAACACCCAGGTTTCTAGCTCTTTATTTTACCCGGTAGGAACAGAACATCCTATTTATAAAGACACTGAAGCATACATTCCTGAATCTGAAGATTTAGGGTGGATTAGAAGTTTGCCATGTGATCGTTTTGCAGTGGAAACTACACAGAGAAACAAACAATCCTCAGCTACTTCTAGAAATTCTTCAGAACTTTCTGAAGTAATAAACAATATGTCCCTTTTAAAGTCACTGTCTGAGCATGGCACAACTTTAGGAAGCTTGGCAATACTGAATGAAAACCATGCCTCCCAACAAGAGGCTCGGCACATAGAAGACCCAGATGTCAGTCCTGAAGGTTAGCGTCACCTGTCTTATTTTGGTTGTTCCCTTTGTAGCTCAGAAAAATGAAGATACTACCAGTCTGCTGTATTTACATATGTGGTGGCTGAGCATGGTGGCTTATTCCTGTAATCTCAGCACTTGGAAAACAAGGCAATATCAAGGGAATTTAAAGTTATCTTCAACTAGAGTGGGTTTGAGGCCAGTCTGCTAATAAGACTATCTCTCAACAGAGGGGGTTGGGGATTACAGAGTGTAACCCGTAAGTTTGGTAATGACAACTTTAGTAGAGGATAATATAGTGATGACTGAGTCTCTTTCCTTTCACAATTCCCCAGTCTACTTAACATCAAACAGTGCGTGTGTTTGGTTTTTTTGCTGGTTGGTTGGTCTTTATAGACAGGGTTTTCATGTAGCCCTGACTGTTCTAGAACTTGCTCTGTAAACCAGGCTAGCTTCAAACTCAGACATCTGCCTGTCTCTGCCCCCCTGAGTGCTGGGTGTCACCACCCAGTTTGTGTGTGTGTGTGTGTGGTTTAATTTTTTTAAAGATTTATTTATGTATGAGTGCTCTATCTGCATGTATGCCTTTATGCCAGAGAAGGGCATCAGATCCCACTATAGGTGGTTGTGACCCTTCATGTGGCTGCTGGAAATAGAACTCAAGACTTCTGGAAGAGCAGCCAATGCTCTTAACCACTGAGCCATCTCTCCAGCTATAATGTGTGTATGTTTTAAGACAACATCTTGTTGCATAGCTCCGACTGATCTATAATACATGACAGTAAATGAACAACACTCTGTGATACCCAATGTTAAAATTAAATCTTATTTTATTTTATTTTATTTTGGTTTTTCAGACAGTATTTCTCTGTGTAGTACTTGGAACTCACTCTATAAGCCATGCTGGCCTCAAAGTCAGAGATCCGCCTGCCTCTGCGGGGGTTAAAGGCTTATGCCACCACCACCCGACTTTAATTTTAAATTCTTGTTCATATATGTTAGGTCATTTTTACTAAAAGTATGAGAAAATTACCGTACATTCTGAAATTCTTTGAAATGCAGTTTATTTTCTAAAATATTTATAATAAAAATTAAACATGAATAGATATAACTGATCTATAAACTGAAATGAGCATAGCATTGTAATATGAACATTTGAGAAATGTGGTATTTGAGGACATGATTCTTTCATCCATTTGAAAGACAAGATTCCACTTGCTTCATGTTAGTTGAAGTCATTGTGTTCTGTGATGAACTTAAACACCAAACTTTTGAATCACTGGTCACACAGGACATGCAAAGTTGGCTTCCTGCACATCTCTGGCCGGAACATTTTTTTTTTAAACTTTATTTTTATTTTCTGTGCATTGGTGTTTTGCCTGGATGTCTGTGTGAGGGTGCCTCTGGAACTGGAGTCAGACAGTTGTGAGCTGCCATGTGGGTGCTGGGAGTTGAACCTGGGTCCTCTGGAAGAGCAGTCAGTGCTCTTAACCACGGAGCTATCTCTTCAGCCCCCTGGCTGGAACATTTTTCTCTTCTCACCATGTAATTAATTATGTCTTTATTTAAACACCACTTTATTTAATGTTTTTGATTTATTAACATAGTTGCCAGCAGTGCTATGAGTTGTTCATGATCAAAACAATCCATACATATTTTCTCTGCAGCAGACACACTTAAGAACAATAGATAGTGAGCCAGACGGTGTGGTGGCGCATGCCTTTAATTCTAGCACTTGAGAGGCAGAGGCAGGCAGATCTCTGTGAGTTCGAGGCCAGCCTGGTCTACAGAGCTAGTTCCAGGAAGGCTCCAAAGCAACAGAGAAACCCTGCCTTGAAAAACAAAAATAAATAAATAAAACAAGGAACGCTATGTAGCACTCTAGGGGACTTTAAAATAGTGAAATCATCAATTTTGGTACTAAATATACTAAAAAACTACTTCTGAGTGCAGTATGAAGTGAGGCTGAGTGTTGTCCTGTTGGGAGTGTGCTCATGCTGTGCTGCTGGTCGGTCCACCTTGTCAGTCTTACCCCCAGCTTTCTTTTTCACACCTGACGTGTAGCTTAGTCTTGCTGTAGGTCTCAGTAACATCATTTTTCTGTATGACATCTTTTCCTATCATACTCTGACTTTGTCTGGTTTAACTGTGTGGCTGTCTTCTTTGTTGTTCCCTTTTCATTACTACTATGTTCCCCAGTGCTGGCCGGGCATTTCAGTACCTGCCTTAATTCCAACACTGTGTGGCAGATTTCTGCTCTACATAGTGGTTTGCAGGCCAGCAAATATAGCAGAGTTCCTACACTATAGTCAGATGGGTTTGAGAAAGGTTTGGATAGACTGGTGCCCCCTTGCCCCACTGTGATTGTGCATACAATAGTGTTAATTTTAGTTTTTTTAGTTTTCTTGTTCTTAACAATTGGGCAGTTCTCAACAATTTTTAACATTTGTAATATAGGTGATAAATATATTCTGTTGACTTAGAATATATTATTATTTTTTTAAACTAGGTGCCAAAAAAGTTGCAAGAACATATCCCCACTAAGATATAGTGAGCAGTAAGGGAACTGGACAGATGGCCCAGCAGCTACAAAGAACGTGCTGCTCTTACAGAGGATATAGATCTGGTTCCCAACATCCTCCCTGACCTCTGTAGGACCCAACATGCACACGGCACATATATAGGCCCGCAGACAAATACTCCTGTAAAACAAAGAAATTTATTTATTTATTTGAGCCAGGGTCTCTCTTCACAGCCCTGGCTGTCCTGGAACTCACTGTAAACAAGACTGACCTTGAACCTACAATCTCTCTACCTTTGCTTCCTGAGTAAAGGAATTAAAGGCATGTGCCCACACCTGGTCTTAATATTTTTTGAATTAATCATTAATGTTTTCAATTTAAATATGTTGAATTTTTTGCCTTAAGAATGTACCAGTCTATATAGAATAGTACCCTGAATCTTTACTCATACTCCATATTAAACCTTTTTAAAATGTATTATTTCAGTTTTAGAAGTAAATATTTTTGGAAACATTGTGATCCGTATGATAAGTAAGGCTGTTTAATTTTTCCATCCTAGCCAGGAACTTGCCTGCCACAGTAGTTTACCATAAGCTAGAGCGTCCTCATGAGCAGTGGACTTCTCAGCAGGTACATTTCTCTCTCTAAACTACTGTGTGTTTCTTTGATAGAAAATAATGATATTTCTGTAACTGTATAGCATATATTTTGATCATACTTTGTACTGCCACCTCTTATGCCCCCTTCCTAGTATTTATGTGTCTCTTACCATATAGTTGATAAGAGTTTCCTTAGTTAGGATTGCTATTGCTATAATAAAACACCATGCCAAAAAAAAAAAAAAAAAAGGTAGGGGAGAAAGGGGCTTATTTGGTTTACACTTCTTCATCATAGTTCTTCATTGAATGAAGTTGGGGCAGGAACTCAAACCGGGCAGGACCTGATGCAAAGGCCATGGAGCAGTACTGCTTACTGGCTTGTTCCCCTTGACAATGTTCATGCTTTCTTATAGAACGCAGGACTATCAAGCCCAAGGGTGGCACCATCCACAATAGGCTGGACCCTTCTTCATCAATTACTAGTTAAGAAATGCCCTACAGGCTCTTCTATAGTTCAGTCTTACAGAGGCATTTTCTCAGTTGAGGCTCCTTCCTCTCTGATGACTCTAGCTTGTATGAAGTTAACGTAAAACTAGCCTATAGCATAACTGATCCCTACTCAGCTTGACACATGAACACATTACTGCTAAGCTATAACTTTCCTTTCTTGTTAATTCCCAAGATCATATATTAATATAAAACCACAGTATGAAACATTTTAAATACTTAAAAAGTTCCATAGTCTTTACAAAGTCAAACACTTTATAATCAATCTTTTTAAACAATTCAAAGTCTCTTTTAAAATACAGAATCCCCTTAAAAGTTCAAAGTTTTGGTTGTGAGCCTAGCCTTTAACGGCTGAGCCATCTCTTAAAAAAAAAAAAAAAAGTTCAAAGTTTTTAAAGCATGGGCTCCTGTGAAAGTAATAAAAAGTTAAATACTTCCTTCAGGAGGGAAGAACCAGAGCACAGTCACAATCAAAGTATAGCAAAACAACAGTGTAAATAATCCAGTGTCTAATATCTGGGATCACTTCTCAGGCTCCACCCTCTGCAGCTCATACAGCTTGTCGTTTGGCTCAGGTTGGCTTCACTTATACTTGCTACTGTTCCTGGGAGCCATCCCATGGAACTGGCATCTCCAAAGTGCTGGAGTTGCCAGCAATTGGCAAAAAGTTACAATAACTGGGTTGCACGTTGATCAATAGCCTCTCCCTTCTCTGCATGACCCCTTTAATCCTGGGCCTTCAACTGCTACTGAGGATGCACCTTCACCAGTGGTCTCTTGGCCTCACCAAGCCTCAGTGCTTCATGCCTTCACAACCAGTACCATGGGTGGTTCTTATACTACCAAGTTCAGCTGCCAGCACAAGTTACAACTTTGGCCCACTTCTGGAATACAGCTGTGTGCTGACTCTGAGGAACCACTTCCCAGAAGATTTCACCTCGTGATGTTGGTTGCCTTTTAAGCACAGCTGATTCTTCAGCAACAGCTGACCAGCATCCATTGTCCCAGCAAAGCAAGGGTTTTACTTTAGTGGTTCCGGTCTCTTGGTGATCACAGCTCCAGCTGACCAGACACCACAGATTCTTCACACATCTGAAACTTCACAAGCAAAGTCTCCACTGCCTACACTGCTCTCAACATTCTTATTTTCCAAGCTCCTTTAGAGCAGCCTACTGAGGTTTGAACACTCAATGGCTTTTCCAGTCCAAAGTTCCAAAGTCCTTTCACTGTCCTCCCCAAAACACAATAGACGGGGTCTGTCCTTATTCATCAATTACTAAGAAAATGTCTACAAGCTTGTTTACAGTCCAATCTTATAGATGCATTTTCTTAATTGAGGCTCCCTCCTCTCTGATGACTCTAGCAGGTGTCAAGTTGATATAAAACTAACCAGCGCAAGAATGCTCTGTAATTTATACTAAAACTGTAGCAGTACACAAGGTCCCAAACTCTCTGAATTCATGACTCCCCTCACAAATTTTTAAAACAATGTTTCTTGGCCCAAAGAAATCCTGACAGTCCATTTGTTGAATGCTAGCATTGAATGGTCAGTATGCCTGTCCTAGTAACTTGGCAATTCATTTCAGGTGAGCACGGCTAGAAATGCAGTGTAGGCCGCCAATCAGGTACTATATAGTGTTTTTCTCTTCTAAAGCTCTGAAAAAAAGCACATTAAGTTTGATTGTCCTTTCAAATGATCTTTAGGATCTTTATTTCTAAGTGATAGTAGATTCAGAGTTTCTATAGTTATCATTTTGTTAATTCATCCATCCATTAGAAATAAATCCTTTAAGGACATTCTTTTGGCCCTTTTAGCTGTTTTATTTTCCTGTATCCTAGGTGGGCTTTGTTAAACCCTGTGTGGCATAAATGCTAAAATCCTCAAGGGGGCAGCAGAGAAAGCCATTTGGAACCTGAAAGCATGGCATAGGTAGACATGAAGTAACTGAGGGAGTAATTCTGCTTTGCGTCACACTTCAGAGCAGAAGATTCAGATATATAGGGCTGCAGAGATCCCACTGTCTACCTGATAAGTGTGCAGACTTCTCAAGCAAAGCAAAGTGCTTCTTCATTTATTCTCTTTTATTTTGTGTTTATTGGCTCGTTTCTGTATGAAAGATAATACATTACATGTTGGTGATTCTTAGACAAAATAGAAAGGCCTGTGCACTCAAAGGGCTTAGTGTACAATAAGGAAGAACATTTCTGTATGTATACAGTATGAATATTTGTGTCATATACTTACAAAATTCTTGTTTTTAATACTTTACCCATAGCCTGTTGAGTTTCAAGGCCATCAGGTGAAAGGATCAGCCACTAGTGGTGTAATGGTGAGAGGACACAGCACACAGCTAGGATACAGTCAGCTTCCAGATAGCGTTGAATATGAAAACTTCATGACATGTCCTCCAGTCTGGACACCAGAGTTGCCTAGCGCTTGTGTGCAGACTGACTTCCTACAGGTAAAAGTCATTTTTATAGTTGCATTTCACCAAGTTGTTTTCTTTTACTACATTTTGTAAATCCTTATAGAAAGGAGTCCATGGGTAAATTGGCAAGAACCATGATAGCTCTAGTCAGACTACACAAGGCGCTCCTGCTTTCTGACTTGTTGGCATGTTTGTAATTTTCCCACTTAGCCTCCTTTCAGCAGTACCAGATTTCGAGGCTTTCTACAATTACTGGACTAAATCAGCCTATGTGTTATTAGTTTTTCCTCTATGTTGGTTTGCTTTTTTTCTGTGTTTCCAAGTCTATACTGTTTCCCACTCTTCATAATATTATAATTTGTGATCACCATTGCTTGAGTTATTGAAAAAGAAACTTGTTGTGTTTAGTGGCTCTTGACTGTAAATCCCAGCATGGAGCCTAAAACAGGAAAAAAAAATGTTTGAAGCCAGCTTGGGCTGTATAGAGACTTCTAGGCAGTCACGGAAAAAAGAACAAAAGAGGAAGAAATTTGTATATTTGTGTCCATTGCCATATTTCTAATTATTGTTATATGCTAATTAGGGTCAGCTCTCTACCCCAGCACCATTTGCCACTTTTAAATCCGATTATCTTACAGTCTCTTGTCAGATGAATACTTTGCCCATTCTTCTTCCATCCTGTATGTGGTCTCTGTTGATCTCTTCCTTTTCTATGCAGAAAGTTTTTAGTTTGGGCTGGAGAGATGGCTCAGTGGTTAAGAGCATTGCTTGCTCTTCCAAAGATCCTGAGTTCAATTCCCGGCAACCACATGGTGGCTCACAACCATCTGTAAAGAGGTCTGGCGCCCTCTTCTGGCCTTCAGGCATACACACAGACAATATTGTATACATAATAAATATTTTTAAAAAAAAAGAAAGTTTTTTGTTTCTTAGAACCCCTTTTACTAATTTTTCCTTTTATTGCCTCTATGCTTTTGGGTCACATCATCTCCAGAATGGAGTCTGTTATTACTGAGCCCTCCAATAAAAGGGATATAGAAATATGTCCCATTTCATTAGCTACTTGGAGATCATAGTGACCTTGGCAAGAACAATTGCAATGAAATAGTATGTGTAGTGGCCAATTCAGAGGGAATTAAAGAATGAATGAGAGATAGGAAAGTAGAATTATGGCTAATTCCTAAAAATGTATATGTTTGTCAACCATTCAACTCCCACCTCCCACCTTCTCCACCCAGGGCTGTGAATCAAATCAGGACTTCACACTTGCTGGGCAAGTGCTCTGTCATTGAATTGTATCCGCAGGCAACAAACATATTCTCATGAGCAACTGCCTACTTCTATTGTACTGTCAAAATAGGCCTGTGAATAAAAGAGGCAAATTCTTGTCTTCATAGTACCTGGAAGGGCTTAAGTGCTCTGAGTTAGGATAGAGCTATGTAAGGGGTGGCAGAGTACAGATGGTCTGGGAATCTGTTGTATGTAGGTAAAGTCAGCAGTCTCTGATAGCTGACACTGGAGTAGAGATGAGAATGTCATGCCAGTATCCTGGGGGAAAGGGATTTGTGGCAACAGACAGTTGGCCAGTTTGTAGAATAATGTGGAGTGAATGAGGGACAAGGAAAGTGACAGAAGTTCAACCAGAGAGCAGGCCAGGGGCCTGGTCAGGTAGGGCCGTATAAGATATCACAAAGCAGTCTACATTGGAACAGACTGGGAGCAATTAGAGGGCTTGCATCAGTGAAGAAAAAAGATTTAGCTTAATTTTTAGAAGTAACTCTGGCCAGTTGTGCAGAATGTACTAGGTAGGGGAATAGGGTGGAATACTTAAGAATTTCTTCTTTTATATGTATGAGTATTTTGCTTGCGTGTTCGTCTGTGTACATGTATGTCTTGCATGTCTGGTTCCCAGGGAAGCTAGAAGAGGGTGTTGGAGTTCCTGAAACTGGATAGTTGTGAGCTGCCATATCAGTACTAGGAGCTGAAAAACAGACACTACTTTTAATTGCTAAGCCATCTCTCCAGCCCTTTGTTTGTTTTTTTTTGAATCATGGCCTCACAGTGTAGCCCTGGCTGGCCTCACTCACTGTGCAGGCCAGGCTGATCCTGAACTCTCAGAGCTCTGCCTGCCTCTGTCTCCAGAATGTTGAGATTAAGCGCATGTGACACTGTGCCTGACAGTTCTTTATTGTTATCTTTACAAAGCCTAGAGTCACCTGGGAGGAGGGAACATCGATTGGGGAATTACTCCGATTAGATTGGCCTGCCTGTGGTCATATCTTTGAGGAACTGTCTTGATTGTTGATGGATGTGGGCAGTGGCATTCCTGGGCAGGTGGTCCTGAGCTGTGTAAGAGCCAGCAAGCCAGTAAGGATTCTTTCTTCAAGGTTTCTGATGCAGTTCCTGCATGAGTACTTGGCCCAGCATCCCTTAGTAATGGGCTGTTACCTGAAAACGTAAGCTGAAACAAACCGTATCCTCTCCTAACTTGTTTTTAAGTGTTTAGGACAGCAACTAAAGGCAAACTAGAACAGCATCAGGTGTGACTGTTATTACGTTTTGATTTTGGGCAAAAACTGCAACACAACTTAAAACTATTCTAGTGAGAATTGTGACTGTTCAGATCTGAATATATTTAAAGAGTCCCTGCACTTGGAAGGAATATCTTAAAATGTATATCAACTATGCATAACCTGAAATCCACGAACATAAGAGAAAACTGCTCAGACCTTGTGTATGCAGAAATATAGTTTGCACACATGAGATGGGACTTGGGTTGAACCCATTAGAATGGAAATTTACCCTCAGAACTAAGTCTTCATAATGGAATCAGTCCAAATCAGAATGCCATCCACTTCACAATAAATCCTAACCTTAAATTGTACTTAAAATTATTGTTTATATTAGTAAGTTTTTGCTAGCCTGTCCTTTTTGTTGATAATTTTATAGTTCTTTGTTCCCAATGTGCTTACAATAGTGACTTCTGAAAGAGAGGTCACCGGAATTCAAATAGGAAAGGGCACTGTAAGAACATCTTAGTGATTTTCTTTTTTCTGGACAGGTGATTTCACCAGAACAAAAGATCTCTGCATCGAGCTCTGCACCTACTTTTTCTTTCAACACGAGAAATGAAGACTCTGTGCTTGAGTTCTCTGAGGAATCTCTGAGAGCAAGGACTTTCCCTGGTGATCTTTGTTTTCTCTGCTGTTATCTGTGAGAGTGTTACTGGGCTAGAAGTGTCTCTTCCCTCAGGCTTTTTTCTGTTATGGATGCTGTTCCAAATGCATTTTCCTTCCTTTCTAGTTCTTGTTCCCTCCTCTACTGTCTCTTCACTGCCTCTGAAAGTGTCTCTACTGTCGAAGGACTTCTTGCAGCTAAAATGCCAATGTGCTAGACAGTGGCATGTGCCTTTAATCTCAGCACTCAGGAGGCTGAGGCAGGTGGATCTCTGTGAGTTTAAAGTCAGGACAGCCAAGGTAGTTACACAGAGAAACCCTGTCTTGAAAACCAAAACCAAACCAAAACCAACCAAACAAACAAACAAAAAAAAAAAAACCCCACAGGCACCATATAAAATGCCAACACTTGGCTCCTCTTTTCTGTTGTGAAGTAGTTTGTAGCAAATGTTTCATGAACACCACTGGTTGACCTTGGCATAACTTCTTCATCTCCTCATTTTGCTTTGGGATACTGTCGGTATGAGGAACTCTTCAGTGGCTGATGCCATCATTGTTCCCAGGCCTCAAGCTTTTAACTCTATTTTGACTTTTCTTATAAGTCATTTTCTGCTTCTTGAAAACTGTATTGTTTAATAGGATCACTTCCCACTAACTTCACTTTTTCTTGATAATTTCATTTATGTATTTTTTTCTAGTCTGAAGTTATATGTGATTAATGGTTTTTTGGTTGTGAATTGATGATTAGTATGAAAAAATGTAATGTGAATCAGTACTTGAGTTGGAGTTGACTTCATGGTTATGTCTGATTGAAGGCAGGTGAAAAGAGGGAGGGTAGGAGGAGATGCGAATGGGGTGAGGATGGGTGTGAGATGGTATTATAATCCCAGCTCTCAGGAGACAAGGCAGGAGGATCAGTACTTAAAGGCTAGCTTGGGCTACTTGGGGATAAAAAAAGGATGGGGAAGAGATCTTTTGGGGGGAATATATCTTCTGAAACAGGCATGAATCTTTAGTTCTGTAATGACATTTTAATTTTCTGTCACTGTTACTCAATTAGGTTGTTGGATTATAACATAACACTTCATTTAAGAATATTCATTGACTCACTTATTGCTCTACTACTTCCCAAGTGGTCGTCAGAATTTAATCCCTATAAAATAGAGACTGTGTCAAATAAAGTAAGAATTTATATTTTTAGATAAAGACTTTAATAGTATTCAATTCCTATGCAATTTTGCTGATTCATTAATCTATGAAATACATATTTATTGCTTTTTACACTTTCAGCAACGTTTCTATTCTAATAGCTGCTTCTAGAAAGAAGCAATTCCAAAGCTCACTCAGACAAAATCTGACATGAGTTCACTATCCCATCTATGATTAATTTAACATAGAAAGCTAAAAATTTTTGTTATGAAAGTTATCATAATTCATAAATATAATGAACAGTTGCAATCACATCATATTAAGTGAGCTGTTAATTTTGTCCACAGAAGGAATGTGAATAGATATCAACTCATTCTGTGTTCTTTCTACTTGATAGACACTGTGAGCTCTGGACTCTGTTACTTCATCTGTAAAATGAGAGTGATGCAGCTTTTCTCCGATTTGAATACTTTGAAAACTTAGAGGTTCTATAAATATGAATAATTAAATTAGATATTTAGTTCTGTAGAAGAAAAGAGGAGGACTTATTTGTTAGCCTTAACAGAGTCTTCAGATCTATACATTAAGTTTTGAACCTTTAGATTTTGATATTAAAGCATTTATTTTGGGAGGGCTATAAAATAGTGTTATCTTCTTTTTCTATACAGCAAGTCAGAACCTTCTGCCCTTGCTCATGTACCCACTGTTTTCGAGAGTCTGGGTGATGACTGGTTAAATATTTGTATTGAATCAGCATTATGTTTTCTTTCAGGATTGGAAAACATTGGTTTTTTGGGGAGTAAGAACCTTCAAAGATTTCCATGTGCAACCAGAGCCTCAGTTCCCTTCATTACTTTGCCTCCTGATGATGGGCCAGCAGTCTTAGAGTCCTGTTCATTTATGGCTGATGACGACACACGAGAGTCCTCTAGTTCTTCTGTGTTGAACCTGTGTGAAGAATCAGTTCTTTCATTTGACCTTGGGCCTGAGGACCAGGGTGAGACTTCTCGCCGGAAAGGAACTCCAGGAGATGCTTCACTGCTTCATAAGAATTCTGTGCAAAGCAAGTGGCTAAAATATCAAAACACATCCCAGTGCAGCTCAGCTGCTCTAGGCAGAATTGGCGGTGAAGTGGCAGAGGACAGTGAGCAGCAGAGGAATGCTGTGAAGGAAAGCTCTGTAGACCCTGTGCACTTGCAGAGGATGAAAGGCATGCTCTATCAGCAGCAGCAGGACTTTAGCAGTCGAGAGTTGGCTTCCAGAAAGAAAGCTTTTTCTCTGAACTCAAAGCAGACTTCTGAGACAGTGGAAATTCAAGCTATGTTAGGAAGCCCCGCCAGCTACAACTCCAGAGTCAAAGATTTACAGGTGAGGGAAGGCTTCAAGCTCTTGGAGCGTTTTCTCCAGTAGTTACTTTGTGAATTCCAGCAGAAGAAGGCACAGATTGTTTGGGAACGATTTACTTTTTGATCAGGTAGCTATTTGTTTGATGTTACCCAGTAATTATGAATATTGAATTATGTATTTAAAAGTCTTAGGTATGCTGTTGAGCATGTAAAAGGTATTTAATAAATATTAGCTCTTATTCCTCTTTCTGCCACTCCTTCTAGTACTGAGCTCACTATGACAGTTTTTATTTTTGACTATCAAATCAATTTTGCTGATTGGATTATTAAAATAAGACACATGCCTCTATTAAAAATTTGATATAATATATTAAAATCATATAAAGAGACCAATGAGAAAAGTTAGTATTTTTAAGACTTAAAAGTTTATGTAGATATTTAGGCTTTATTTTGTTTTTTATTTTAGATCATAAAACAATTTTCATGGATTCTAAAATTCAAACCTACAATTAGTGTTTTCTTCATTATATATATGAAAAGCAATTTGTTGGTAAACTGTGATTTTTTTTTTTCAGGAGATAAATGGTTCTGAGCTGTGCTTCCCAAATGGGCAGAAAATAATATCGGCTTATCTCCCTCAAAGACAAGTTTACGTACCAGCTGTTTTCCAGTCTCCCATTCACTATAAGCAGATCTTTACATCTTCTATCATAGGTATGGCTGTTATATTTTTTTCTGATGATTACCTATTGTGAGTATTAGAACTATAAAAAAGAATAATACCTTATGGATTTTCATAGTAAATTTTCTTCTGGAAATTTATTTTAGAAATTATCATTTCTTTATTTGAATGTCTGATCTGATCAAAAGCTTTAAAAGTGAGAAATTGTAATAATTTTTAAATTATGGCTTTTTATCTATTAAAATAGAAATAAATGAGTCCATTACATGTAAATGAAACAGTTAAATATGATCCATGCTTAGGTCTGAATGTGTTTTTTTTTTTTTCGAGACAGGGTTTCTTTGTGGCTTTGGAGCCTGTCCTGGAACTAGCTCTTGTAGACCGGGCTGGCCTCGAACTCACAGAGATCTGCCCAGCTTAAGTCTGAATGTTTTGAGGTTTAAGAATAAAACTTGGGGGGGCTGGAGAGATGGCTCAGTGGTTAAGAGCATTGCCTGCTCTTCCAAAGGTCCTGAGTTCAATTCCCGGCAACCACATGGTGGCTCACAACCATCTGGAATGAGGTCTGGTGCCCTCTTCTGGCCTGCAGACATACACACAGACAGAATATTGTATACATAATAAATAAATAAATATTAAAAAAAAAAGAATAAAACTTGGATTTTGAAAGCTGGATTGTTATAAGGTGTGGCAGTGCCTGTCTGTTATTCTAGCACGTAGAATACGGCAGGAGAGTACGAGCTGGAGGTCAGTTTAGACCACATAGTAAGACTGTCCCAAAACTACAATAAAATACGTAAATAACTGGTGTGGCTGCTAAAAGCACGATATTTATATGTATTGAAATGCTACAGTGAGGGACTAGAGAGATGGCTTAGCTATTAATTATGCTTTCTGCTCTTGCAGAGGACCTGTGCTCTATTACATAAGCCCAGAGTTACATGATTCATAACTATCAGTAACTCTGCTCCAGGGAAGCCAATACTCTTCTGGCCTCCTTGGGTATTGTAGTCATGTGCACAAACACACACACACAGACGCACACTCGAACATAATTAAAAATAACAATTCTTAAAGAAAAAGGAATGATACAGTGAAGTCCTTTAATATATACAGTCAATTTGCAACAATAATGAAAAAGTGTGGATGACTTTCAGAGGGAGCATAACAGAATCTGATAGATAAGGGCTTCATACAATAGTATTTGCTTTGGGTGCATTATTTGGATGGCAATGAAGCTGGGTTTTTGTTGTTGTTTGTTTGTTTGTTTTTGTTCCAGTTTGGCAAAATGAGTACAAAAGGGATAGTTAGGGGGCTGACTCAGTGGTTAAAGTACTCAGTGCTCTTGCAGAGGGCCCAGATTCTGTTACTCACACCCTCATGGAAGCACAGCCTTCGGAACAATTTGACCTCTGTGAGCACTGTACAGACTTGGATTTTATAGTACTGTGCTACAGTTGATTGTTAAAAGGCTATTTTTTTCTTTCTTTTCTTTTTTTTCGAGACAGGGTTTCTCTGTAGCTGTGGAGCTTGTCCTAGAAATAGCACTTGTAGATGAGGCTGGTCTTGAACCCACAGAGATCCACCTGCCTCTGCCCCCCGACAGCTAGGATTAAAGGCATGCACCACCACTGCCTGGCAAAAGGCTATTTTCAAATTGGCTAGGAAACAGTGAAATTGATACTAACATGAAATAATTTTGTATATGATTTTCAGTTCTTTTTTTTTTCTTGTAGAGCATCTGAATATATTGCTATTTGATTTGGCACAAAGGTTGTACAAAGCACTTTCCAATGTTGACATATCCTTTTATACATCGTCAAAAGGAGAGACACTAAAAAGTGGAAAAAATCATTTACCATCCTGCCATCATAATCAACCTGCCAAACTTGTCATGGTTAAAAAAGAAGGCCCAAATAAGGTATTGCTTCTGCTCCCTCCCCACACTTTCCTTATTCATAGTTTAGGTACTATGGAAACTGAGACGTGAATTTTCTTTGTGACATTAGTAACATAATAAGCTCTCAGTACTTTTCTAATGAAATGAATGATCTGTGTTCCAGAATACAAAAATAAGAATTAAAGTTAATTTTCAAAAAATTTAGGAGTTTATTGTATAGTAGTGGATGGAAACTGATACAGGGAAGAAAATTACATCTGTAAGGTAGGAAGGGTGTGCCTAAGCACAGTGTCAGCACTGAGAAAGGGGTCTGCTTTAGAGTTTAGAAAATGCTGAGATGAGACTGACAGAAATGGAGGTTGGAAACTGAACCAGCACTAGACAAGGCCAAGTGAGTAGAAAAGCATGCTGTCCTAATGTGTATTGTGGGTATTACAAAGAAGGGTTCGTAACACATTGGTAGCTTTTACTCATTTGTAAAACTGCTTACACCTATAGTAGCAGTTAAATAATTGCACTATTTGAATGCATCATTAGTTGAATATATAAATTTGACCTTAAAAATTCAAAAGCAAGCCGGGCGGTGTTGGCACACGCCTTTAATCACAGCACTCGGGAGGCAGAGGCAGGTGGATCTCTGTGAGTTCGAGACCAGCCTGGTCTACAGAGCTAGTTCCAGGACAGGCTCCAAAGCCACAGAGAAACCCTGTCTCGAAAAACAAACAAACAAACAAACAAAAAAATTCAAAAGCAGTCAGGCAGTAGTGGCATAATGCCTTTAATCTCAGCACTCAGGAGGCAGAGATGAGTTCTGGGACGGCCAGAGTTGTTACACAGAGAAACTGTCTCAAAAAAACAAAAATCAAAAGCAAGAATTCATAAATAATAGCATAGCTATATAGATTGAAATATGTAGCCACTAACATGTTGTTTTCAAGATTATTTGATAGTATGTTTGCTTGTTCATGCTATGTTGTTTGTTTAAAGGGTTAGGTCACAAAGTATAAGATGCATCATTTGGTGAATTTGTTTTACAAAATCTATGTATATGTTTGTGTGTGTGTATGTGTGTATGTAGAAAGAAATGCACAGATATCGCTAGTAGTTGTTTCCGGGTCAATGTCAAGTTATAATTTATTACTAATTTTTAAATATATATTTATATCTCTATATCTGTATCTACATATATATTGTCGTTGTTTTTTCAAGACAAGGTTTCTCTGTAGCTTTGGTGCTGCTTTTGGAACTAGCTCTTGAAGACCGGGCTGGCCTAGAAATCACAGAGATCCGCCTGCCTCTGTCTCCCAAGTGCTGGGATTAAAGGTGTGCACCACCACTGCCTGGCAAATTTTTAAATATATTTTAAAACAAGAGTTTTTTTTTTAATGCGTATGTGTGAATGTTTCCATACATATATATATGTGTGTGTATATATATATGTATATGTGTGTGTGTGTGTGTGTGTGTTCACCACATGTATACCTGGAGCCCATGGAAGCCAGAGGAGAGTGCTAGATTCTCTAGTCTAGGACTGGAATTACACGTAGTTATCAGTTGTCATGTGGTTCCCAGAAACCAAGTCCAGGTTCTCAGGAGGAGCAGCAAGTACTCTTAGTGCTGAGCCAGCTCTCCAGTCTCTTAAATTAGGTTTTGTTTTCAGTATAATATACTCTCTTGATGAAGAGAAAATAAATGGAAAAATAGGTACTTTATAATTTTAATGTATTGCTTAAATTAATAAGTGATTTGTTTTTTGGAATATATTAATAACAGGCAGCTGTTATAAAATGCTTGACAAGCATAGTGCAGAAAACAGAAAAATAGAAATAGATTTTCACTATTCTAATATGCATCCTAGGCAAACACTGTACATTAAGTTCTTTATATCTTTTTTCCCCCTTAGGGTCGTCTCTTTTATACATGTGATAGGCCCAAAAGTAATCAATGTAAATTTTTCAAATGGCTTGAGGAAGCAACTCCAGGACAGTTATCACAGTATGAGTCTCAGTCCAACATGGTTTTTAATGATGTTAAGAGTATTGGCTCATATTTAAGAAGTCAAAGGGTACCGGTCTATGAGGAATGCCAGCTTTTGTTGAGGTATGATTTATGGTACCATAAAATTTCCTGTAATTATGTCATAGAATAGCAACCCTTGCAGAACTCACCAACAGGTACTCTGGGGTTAGTCCCATAGTCTTTCACATGCTTGACTGCTCTTCTCCTAAGCTATATTCCAAACCCATCTCTGGTTTGAAAAGAAATTGAGATGGTGTCTTAGTTAGGGTTTCTGTTGCTGAGAAGAGACCCCATGGCCATGGCAGCTTTTATAAAGGAAAACATGGTGGGACATAGTAGCATGCAGGCAGCTGGGGAAGGAGCTGAGAAGGAAGGAACTACATCTTGATCCCTCAAAGTAGCAGCAAGAGGTCTGAGACACTGGATATGGCTTGAGCATATATGAGACCTCAAAACCCACCCACATGGTGACACACTTCTTATAATAAGACCATACCTACTCCAACAAAGCCACATCTCCTAATAGTGCCACTCCCTCTGAGTTTATGGGGGTCAGTTGCATTCAAACCACCACAGATGGGGAAAGTATATATCAAGGAGACTACTCTCAGTCCTATAATTTTAAATGAAAGTAAGGCTTTAAAGTTATTTTGGTTCTCTCTAAACATCAAGTGATGTCAATAGTATCACGACAACTTGCAAAAGGTAGTTTGTTTTTTCCTCTCTTCCTTCTCATAGTTATTCACAAACCTAAGGGAAACCCTATTTATAAAACCACAATAATAATTCTTTAACAGTACAGGAATAGGTCATTCCCAAGCCTGAATTATAGAGCTGATAGGATGAAAGTGGGCTCAATAACAACTAAACATAATGACAGTTTGCATGGAAATTTAATAACTTATTGAAGGCTTATAGATGCCAGGGTCTTTCCCAAGGATTTTGTGTATATTGTTTGCTCATAACAATAATGTATAAGATAATAGTAATTAAGATTATTTATTATTTTAATTTTGCAGCTATATAAACATAGATGGTCTAGATTCTAAATACTTTTTCTGTCTCGATGATGATGATTTTGGTTTTTCAAGACAGGGTTTCTTGTGTAATAGCTCTAGCTGTCATGGAACTCTTTGTAGAACAGGCTGGCCTTGACTCACAGATATTTGTCTACCTCTGCCTCCTTAGTGCTGGGATTAAAGGAATATACCACCTCTGCCTGACTTTGATGATGATGATGATGATTCACATCTGTGACTATCTCTCTCTTTCTGTCTATTTTGGTTTGGTTTTTCAAGACAGGGTTTTTGTGTAACTTTGAAGCCTGTCCTGGAACTCACTCTGTAGACCAGGCTAGCCTTGAACCTACAGAGATCCACCTGCTTCTCCCAAGTGCTGGGATTAAAGGCATGTGCTGCCACCACCCAGCTAATAGATATATTTATATATCTATTTATAATATTTATATATTTATAATATTTATGTTTTGCAACATCTCTGAAAGTAAATGAACACACAAAGTTTGGTTCTTACTGTTATGTTCTGTGTTAAAAATTAAAATAATTCCTTTTTAAAGATTTTTATTTATTCATATTGTGTCTATGTGTATGTGCATATGTTTGTGGGTACTTGTGAAGCATAGAGGTTATTGGATCTATTGGAGCTGGAGTTACAAGTGTTTGTGAGCTGGCAGATATGGATGTGGGAACCAAAGGTTCCTGGGAAACCAGGGAGTTATTCTTAACCTGAGCAGTCTCTTAGCTACTCAAATTTATTTGAATCTTTTGTTATTTTTTTCAGGAAAGCATTTGATTTTCAGAGGAAACAGTACGGTAAACTAAAGACGTTTGCAACTGTGAACCCTGAATTTTGCAGTGAAACAAAAAGTAGGATTTATCTTAAACTGAGTCGGAAGGAGAGCTCTTCAGTTTATAATAAAGGTAGGTGGACCTGACCGTGTTCATGATTGAGTTCCATAGCTCTGCAAATCCTTTATAGTAAAGAGAATTTTTTAAGTATAATTTAACAATGCCATATAGTGAAAATTGTGGTATTTTAGATCATTTATAAAAAGTATACTCAGAATTTTTAGAGTTTTTAATCCCAGCACTCAAGAAACAGAGTGAGTAGAGGCCAGCATGGTCTACAGAGCGAGTTCCAAAACAGCCAGGGTCACACAGAGTAACTCTGCCTCCAAAAACTAAAAACAAAAAAATTTTAAGAGTTTTAAAAAATTTTATTCCAGAATCCACTTTATTGAAAAATTGCACTAAAATTTTGATACCATATAAATAATAAAGTAATTTAACTCTGTACCAGACCTATTTTTTTTCTAAGACAGGGTCTCTCTGTGTAACAGCCGTGGCTGACCTGGAACTCACTCTGTGCACCACCACCTCTCAGCGTCCATGACCTATTCTTACCCCAGTCCTCCCATAGCCTGGTATGGGGTTCTTAAACTTTTTTGTAGATATACAAAAGACTTTTTGAGATACAATCCTTGAAAGGGAAATGTTGTATTACAGATCATGAGAATGTAACATCCATCTTTATCTTAGAATTCCAAACTGATTTCCGTAGTAGTTTTTGCCAAGTGTAGTCTTAGTACAAGAGAAGCTGTGCTAAACCTACTCAAGTGGGTGTACGTACAGTGAACCTGTAGTTTGGTTTGCACTTTTCTGTTCTCTGACTTCAAAGTGTTCTTTATGTGTTTACTAGCTGTATGTGTTTCTCATCTACTTTACTATTGAATTTTTAGCAATCCTTTTTATAAAAGATTTTTATGTGTTCATGTTATTCCTTTGTTGGTCAGGTATATTGTGAATATCTTCTCATGTACCAAGTCTTTTTATTTCAAGCCTTTTCTAGACTTCTTTTATACTGTAAGTGGGAGAAATCAAACCCAAGGTCTGGCATATGTTAGGAAGGGAATTTATCACTGAGCCACATCTCTTTCCTTTCTTAATTTTTGGTTCATTGAGACAGTGTCTTTCTGTCTTAAATTCACAGTTTCTTCTGCCCCAGCCACCTGAGCACTGACTGGGATTAATGGCTGGGCTTCTATGTTTTATATATATATAAAATATATATATATATATTTGTCCCAATCCCGCAGTGCTTAAATTGCTGTAGCTTAAGTCCTAATAGTCAGATTATACAGAGTTCCCCTCATTTCCAGAAATTGCTCTTGGCACTTAGCAATTTCATATGCATTTAAAGGCAACTGGTGAAGTTTTATGAACAAAAGCCTGCTGGAATTCTGATGCAAGTTGAATCTCTAGATTACATTCAGACCCATCCCAGTATGCATGTGGAAATCAGGATAGCTGAGTGAATTAGTTTTTTCCTTTTCACCATGTGGGTTCCAAGTGCTTTATCTGCTCAGCTGCCTTGCCAGCCTTAGAGAATGACATCTTGTTTTATTATCTCTCAACTCAATAAATAAACTTTTGAAAACTTTTGTGTTTGTGGGGGACAGGATCTCACTACCTCTTTCCTTATCCCCTGAGGGCTGGGCAAACCTCTGTAGAAGTCATTGGTTCAATGTATTAATACTTTATATTTTCTGAAACTTATGTGGATTGTATATTTTGTTTTCTTGATTAGTTTTGCCTGAGATTTGTCTATTTTGTTAGTTTTGTGAATCATCTTTTGTCTTCATTGATCGAAATATCAGCAAATTGTTCTTATATTTTTAGTTGTGAGCCTAGCCTTTAACAGCTGAGCCATCCCTCCAGGCCTAGCAAATTGTTCTTTAAATTTTTGTTTTATTTATTTATTTATTTATTTATTTTTTTACAAACAATAGAAACATAATTTTTAAGATGTATTTTTATTTTATGTATATGCAAGTGCCTGTCTGAGTATATATGTATTCTGTTGTGAGTTTTAGTGATCTAATTTTCAGTATCAGCCAATCATAATGTATCGTTTACTTGAAGTCTGCAAAAGGTGGAGATCTTAAGGGTTCTTAGCAGGCACACAGAAGTAACCATGTCAGGTGATAGATATGTTAATTAGTTTGCTTGTGGAAACCACAGAAGACATATCAAATGTGTTGTACTAGACTTGTAGTGCAGGGATAGAATGGCTGCATAACATACACAAAGCACTAAGTTCAATCCCTACTACCACCCACAAAGTGCCATGCTGAAATCCTAACGAGCTATAGTTTTGTTTTGTTTATTTATTTGTTTTGGTCAAGCTTACCTCAGTAAAGCAGGAATTTGGAAATGTTTGACCTTTCAGGTGATCTTTGGGTGATTTCAAAAACCCTAGACTTCCAACTAGATACCTTCATTGCATGCAGTGCCTTCTATGGGCCATCTTCTGTCAATGAAGTGGAGCTGCTGCCTTTGAAAGGCTATTTCCCTTCTAACTGGCCCACGAACAGTAAGTATCATTATGTCCACCTAATTTCTATTTAAACAGAACAACAGATTGTATGCGGTATGATCCTAAAATATGTATTGTTTCTCTGTTGGGTCAGAATACTGACCAAAAGCCACTTGGGGGAAGGAAGGGTCTAATTTTGGCTTACTGGTTATGGCCAGTCATCAAGCCATGGCAGTTGTTCAAGACAGGAACACGGAGGCAGGAACTAAAGTAGAAATCACAGAGGAGCACTGCTTCTTGGCTTGTTCTCCTAGGCTTGTTCAGCCTGCTTTGTTATACAGCCCAGGGTCACCTACCCAGAAGTAGCACTGCCTACAGTGGGCTGGGCCCTTCTGTCGTAAATTCAGAAAATGCCCCACAGGCTTGCCTACAGACTAGTCCAATGGAAGTATTAGTATTTCTCATTTGAGGTTACCTCTTCCTGGTTTGTGTCAGATTGAAATAAAACTAACACATGTATGAAAGTTGAATTTGTAAATATTTCTTTTTTGTTGTTTGTGTTTTTTTTTTTGTTGTTTTTGTTTTTTTGAGACATGGTTTCTCTGTAGCTTTGGAGCCTATCCTGGCTCTTATAGACCAGGCTGGCCTCTAACTCACAGAGATCTGCCTGCCTCTGCCTCTGCCTCTGCCTCTGCCTCTGCCTCTGCCTCTGCCTCTGCCTCTGCCTCTGCCTCCCGAGTGCTGGGATTAAAGTTGTACGCCACCACCGCCCAGCTTTGTAAATATTTCTACAGTTCAAGTCCGATAGAACTAATAGTATAATGAAATCTTGAGGGGCTTGAGAGATATATCAGTGGTTAAGGCAATTATTGCTCTTGCAGAGGACCCAGGTTTATTCTCAGCAAGTACACAATGGGTAATAATCATCTGTAATGACAGTTATGAAGATCTAGTACCCTCTTCTGACCTATTAAGGCATTGGGCACACATGTAGTATACATATACATGTATGCAGAAAAAAACACTTTTACACATAAAAAAGGAAATCTTGAACTAACACTTAATATTTGGTTAGGATTAAATTTTCTATATACCTGATGTTTTTTTTTTTTTTTCTTTTTCGAGACAGGGTTTCTCTGTGGCTTTGGAGCCTGTCCTGGAACTAGCTCTGTAGACCAGGCTGGTCTCGAACTCACAGAGATCCGCCTGCCTCTGCCTACCGAGTGCTGGGATTAAAGGCGTGCGCCACCATCGCCCGGCATACCTGATGTTTTTAAAAATGTAAACTTCGGACATGAGTCCTTTTTCACATAATTTTATTTAGATGAGTTCTAATTTTCTTGGACTTTGAATGTATATTTAGTAAACAATGTATCTTTTCACTGAGGTTTTAGAAATTTGAGATTCAGCCGAATATGATTTTTATCTTGATTATCTAAGCCATTTTGAGAAATTCTCTTTATAGAATTTATTTTTATATGTCTAAGTGTTTTGCTTGCATGTATTTCTGTGCCATACATGTATGTCTGGTGTACACAGCAGCCAGAACATGGCATCGGGACCCCTGGACCTGGGATTACAGATGGTTGTGAGCTGCCATGTGGGTGACGGCATTCCAACCCTGGCCATCCGGAAGAGAAACAGATACTCAACAGCTGAGTCATCCCTCCAGTCCCTCTTGAGAAGTCTTTATGAAGTCAGACTACCCACCTTATTTTTCTTTTAGCAAGGAAAGTTTTAGGCCTGGGCTACATAATATTTGTCTCAGATAGAAAATTACAAATTTCACTGATTTAGGGTCCTGAGAGTCTCGTAGCAGAAGAGACTTTAGTAAATTTATTTCCCTCTATTTCTGTGAATATGGAGGTTTCTGGAGACCACACTATACATTTCAGTCTCTATTTCTGATGCTTGAATTTAGTCCATAGTGAACTAAAGACACAGCGTTTAATGATCCCAGATTTCTAGTAGTTCATCTTTTTTAAGCTTTGATCTCCAACTACCCTCCAACCCCCTTTCTTTTTTGATGGAGGAAGGTCATTGGTTAAATAAAAAGAAACTGCTTGGCCCTCATTGGTTAGAAGATAGGTGGGAGGAGTAAACAGAACAGAACACTGGGAGGAAAAGGAAGTGAGCTCAGACTCCACAGCTCTCCTCTCGGGAGCAGACGCCTCAGAGGGACGCCATGCTCCCAGCTCCCAGGCAGACGCATGCGATGAAGCTCCGGCCCAGGATGGACATAGGCTAGAATCTTCCCGGTAAGCGCACCTAGGGGCGCTACACAGATGATTAGAAATGGGCTAAATTAATATGTGAGAATTAGCCTAGAAGAGGCTAGATAGAAATGGGCCAAGCAGTGATTAAATGAATATAGTTTGTGTGTTGTTATTTCGGTCATAAGCTAGCCAGGCAGCCGGGGTGCTGGGGACGCAGCCCCACCGCTCCTATTTCAACACTTTTTGGTTGAGACAAGATCTTACTGTGGAGTCCAGGCTAGCCATGGACTCATAGAAATCCTGCCTCTGGAGTGCTAGGATGATAGCCTTGCATGACTTGCTCTTTTTCCCCCTTTATTTTCTTTCTTTCTTTATTTAATGAGACCTGGCTGTTCTCAAACTCAGTGATTGACCTGCTTATGGGATAAAGATGTGTTGGGATTAAAGGTATGCTTTTTTATACTCAACTGATCTATTCGTTTTTAACTGGCTAAACATAGTCAACCAGTATGACTCTAACAAGGGCCCAATTAACAATTCATCACTTTTCATGTGGACAATTTTGTTTGTTGCAGATGCTTTCTTAGCAATGTTCACATTCTAGTTTTATATGTTTTAATAAGTGATTGAAGAAGAAATACTCGAAAGTTTGAGAACTTCGTAAGCACATCTCTGCAGCACAAGCGCTGTGCTAACTGAGAAGAACTGCTGCTGCTGATTCTCATTTCCTGTGTGCTGTAACTTAAAAAGCAGCACGGGAGAAAAAGACGCCATGCAACAGGACTCACATGGAGGAGATTTTATTAGGGGAAAGGGACCGGCTTCTGAAGACAGAAGCACAGAAGTGGAGAGAGAGGCAGAGAGATGGGGGTGGGGAGAGACAGGCAGAGAAGCAGAGAGAGAGAAAGGAACAGACAAAGAGAGAGATTGGAGGTGGGCGAGGCCTACCTTTTAAAAGGGAACGTAAGAGTGTGCACAGAAGGTGCTCTTAGTGACTGCAGCCCAAGAGCAGGCCAGTACAGATGCCTAAATACCAACACTGTTGATCGTTCCAAGTGTGATTTCAGTTACGCAGTTTATGAGTGCTCACACTCAAAGGACTGGAGAGCATAGAATGTAAAAGATAGACATTTAAACACCTCTGCATGTCCTGAAAATTTCATTTTTTGTCTTCTGACTAGTTCAGAAGCTAACCCGAGTTGTAAGGACATTTAATCAGTTTGTTTGTGTTGGTTTTATTTACATCTAATATTCATTTTCTACGTTTTCTCTGTAGTAACAGTCCATGCATTATTGGTTTGTAATGCCAGCACAGAGCTGACAACACTGCAGAACATTCAGGACTACTTTAACCCAGCGACTCTTCCAGTAATGCCATACCTGTTAGCAATGTAAGTCATTTTTTATCCTTGATCATTGGTTTTAAATTATGGTGTCCTAGTTTGCTTTCTGTTGTTTTCTGTTGCTGTGATAAACACTATCATCAGAAGCAGCTTGGGAGGAAAGGCTTAATTTTATCTCCCAGTGTATAGTTTGTCATGAAGGGAAACAGGGCAGGAACTCAGTGCAGAAACCTGGAGGCAGGAACTGAAACAGAGACCATGGAGGAACATAGCTTACTGGCTTGCTGAATCTGCCTTTTTTTTTTTTTTCAACTCAGAGTCCCCTGCCTAGGGGTAGGGTAGCATAACCTACAGTGGGCTGAACCCTTCTTCATCAATCATTAATCAAGAAAATGCCCCACAGGTTTTCCCATGGGCCAATATGATGGAGTTGTTTTCTTGACTGAGGTTCCCTCATCCCAGGTGACAAGAGCTTGTATCAAGTTGACAAAAAAATTAATCAGCCTAGATGGTAACTGAAAGTGCAATAACAACATTAAATATATTTCACCAACAAAATTTTAATTATCTTTTAGATTAGGAGATTACCGTGTATTAGAAGTTAAGCATAAAACAGATGTGGCTCAGTGGTAGAATGCTGTCAGCATGTGGGAGGCTCTAGCCTTGATCCCTAGCACCAAAAATATATAAATAAAATTTGTAAGAGGAAAGGAAAAAAAGTATGTATTACTTCCCTTCCATCTGTTTATTTATTGTGGTTTGGGCTCATAGTGAAATTTATTTCTCTTTATCTTGGGGACAACTTTTTAAAGGATCGTTATAGTGCATAATTTTATTCATCTATATGGTTTTTACTGTGTATGGTGTATCTGGTGTTTTGCCTACATACATGCATGTGTGTCCACCATGTGTGTCCCTGGTCTGAGGGTCAGAAAGGCTATTGGATGTCCTAGGACTAGATACACAGCCAGTTGTGTACTGCTGTGTGGATGCTGGGAGTGGAACCTGGGTTCCCTGGAAGAACAGCCAGTGCTCTTCACCCCCGAGCCTCTTTCCAGCCTTTCTGTATCTTTATGTTATATATTGCTTAGCATCCAAAACAACGATCTGATAGTGTTGATGTTGATACTATTTTTATTCTAATTACCTGTATCTCACATTTTAATTTCTCTAATATCAAAACTTTTTTTAAAAAAAAAATCAGAAATGGGGCTCGGCTACAGCTCATTTTGCAATATCCTTGAGACCCTAGGTTTCATATTTATTACCACATAAAGCAGCTGTGGTAATATATTGTACTCTTTCCGTTTCAGAGGTGGAGATGGGAAAATCATGAATTCTAGTCCATCTTTAACAACATTGAGAGTTTCAGGTCAATCTGGGATACATGACACCTTGTTTTAATAAATCAAAGAATGTATAACTTAATTATAACAACTGGAAAGTGAATGCATTAAAATGAAAAAAGAATGTTTTCTTGCACTAGGCATCCATCCCCATACAAGTGCTTTACCACTATCTTCCAGTTTGAATTGTTATTATCTTGCAGCATTACCCTTTTCTTTGTCATAATACCCTAGGTTTTTGTTTTGTTTTGCTTTTAAAGCCTTATAACATCACTTTTATATTTTAATTTTTTATACATTTTTAATTTAGTTTTATTTTATGTGCATTGGTATTTTGCCATGGGTGTTAGATCCCCTAGAATTGGACAGTTGTGAACTGCCATGTGGTTGCTGGGAATTGAACCCAGATCCTCTGGAAGAGCAGCCAATGCTCTTAACCACAGAACCATTTCTCCAGACCGTAACTTCATTTTTATATCTTATACATAACAATAAAATTATTTGTCTATTGTAATTTTGCCTGAAGTAGAAACTATGTTAATTATCTAAACCAATCTATTAATTAGATTATTAATTCAATATTTGAATATCTCTACTTGGGGTCATTATTTTTTTGTGTGTGAAAAGTATATAAACTACTTAAGTTCATGCCAGAATATAGTATGTATTTCGTAAATATTAGTTCTCTTGCACCCTCCAAATTGAAGCCTATCCTCCAGAAATTCTCTGACAACTGTAAAATTTAAGCTAAGTTATGAATGAGTCCAGTCACACATTTCAAAAGTCATGTTTCTGATGTGCTCTCTTTTTACTAGGTCTCGGCCAGCTACAGTTAGCAATAAAAATGTCAGTAAAAGAAAATTTATCCCACCAGCCGTTGCAAATATTAAAACAAAATTTGAACTCCTGAACTTGGGAGCCACCCTGCAGTTAGCTAGTGAGTTGATTCATATACACAGGTTGAACAAGGATCAAGCTACAGCACTAATTCAGATAGCTCAAATGATGGCCTCTCAAGAAAGTGGTGATGACACACTGGAGCCCTGCACTCCTCCCCTGCCTATCACAATCATTCATGGTAAGAAATAGATAGTCATAGTAAATGTAGACATTTATAGGTTATCCTGCTCTTTCGTAGTTTTCTAGTGGATAAGAATGTGGAATCTTAAATTAGAACACTGCTTTCATATCCTGGCTCCATCACTATTTATTGACTGTATGATTTTGAATAGGAGACTTACTTCTTAGCTTTGATTTCCCTATTTATTGACTGTATGATTTTGAATAGGAGACTTACTTCTTAGCTTTGATTTCCTGGAAATGTGGATTAAAAATAGCATATACCTCATATGGTTGGATGCTTAAATGATTAAATGTAAGTAGAATGCTTAGAGGAGTGCACAGCATGTGGGTCCCTCAGTACAGTTAGCATTTATGCTGATGCTCCATTGTAGTTTCACCTTTTCTCATTTGACCCATGTAGTCTTCCTTCCTTCCTTCCTTCCTTCCTTCCTTCCTTCCTTCCTTCCTTCCATTCTCTCTCTCTCTCTCTCTCTCTCTCTCTCTCTCTTAAATGCTTTTCTGAGACAGTGTTTTTCTGTGTAACAGCCCTAACAATCCTGGAACTCACTTTGTAGGCCAGGCTGGTCTCAAACCGCCTGTGTCAGCCTCCCAAGTGCTAAAATTAAGGGTATGTGCCGCCACTGCTCAGCTTCCACATAGTTTCTAAGACACACACTCTTACAAGTCAGTTCTGTTGTTTAAAATCCTTCAGTGTCTGTCTACCAGCTTCCAGAGAAATTTCAAAAATTTTAGCCATAGTAGACTTATGATTTATCTTTGTTTGACATAGACTGACTGGCCTGGAACTCACAGAGATCCACCTGCCTGTGCCTCCCAAGTTTGATTTATCCTCTGTGGTATATCACTTTGCTTACCCAAACCTCCATTCTTGCCTGCTTGCTATATACCTAGAAATTTCTAAGAATACTTTTAAAATGCTTAGCTGACATTTTGTAGACTGTTGGTGTGGGATTCTGGGAGACTTAGTTCTGCGACTTCTTTTTTTAAAGGACATCTTCCCTTCTCCACCAAGGCAAAGATAGTCTTCCTTCTCTGGTTCCATAGCAATGTTACCCTATTTCCATACCATATCTTTACCTATTTATCCTGTTGACTGTAGCCTTACTGAAGATGATAATGTTTATCTGTTTATCCTCTTGCGAGCACAAGTGGACATCGTTTTTGAATAAATTAATTAAATGAAGGAGGGCAAGATAGAGAAAATATTGCTTGTACATTCATAGAAGTTTTTGTGATATTTTAGGTGTTTTTGGAGCAGGCAAAAGCTATTTGCTGGCTGTGGTGATTTTGTTCTTTGTACAACTGTTTGAAAAGTGTAATGCTGAAACAGTTGGAAATGCAAGGCCTTGGAAGCTTCTCATTTCTTCTTCCACTAATGTAGCTGTTGATAGAGTGCTTCTTGGGTAAGTATGACAGGCGGATTTAAATAACTGATATTTTAGATTATTCCCAATGTCCATATGTATTCTTGCTGCCTGACAAGAATTCAAGGCCATTGCTTCTGACCCAAGGGCTATGAAGTAGTAACAGTCTAGTTTCTTAAGTAGTAATTGTTCATTTATCTGACAGTTTGTCATAAACAGTTTAGAATAACCCTCTAAAATGCAAGTTCAGCCAAGAGCATGTAGAGCTGAAAGTGTATTGTTGGGGGAGGCCGTCTGGTGTGAGCCTTGAGCATTCCTTTGAAAGGTATTTCTCAGGGTTGCAAGTTGGACTGATGAGGTAATATCATCCTTTGAAATTAAAGGGAGGACTGCTCATTGCTTGTTGCTAAGAGTGGTGGATATCCAACCTCAGTGCAGTGCTCCTTAGCTGACTGTTGAACCCATTGCATGTGCAGGCATCTGCCATGATGTTCTACATCTCCTGGTGGATTGTGGGGACCAAAGGACTCGCACACACCGTGGTGCTTATGCTATTTCTTGTCATAAGTAAAAATCCTTTGCCTCTGACTCGGAGGGTTGGGTTTATTATTATAGATGTAAGTTAAAATCCAATCCCCAAACCAACAGTTATAGCCCATTCTCTTACTCATGAACCTGTATAAACACATTAATATAGCTGAACAATGTAAGTTATAGCATTGTTTTCATAAGAGGGATACAAAGAAGGCAATAACAATAATAGTAAATACATAAGAATTTTTAATTTACTCTCTCTCGGTGGTACAAGTACACAACTTTATATGTATAGAGCTCAGAGGAGAATGCCATATCCTTCTTTATCACTCTGCCTTATTACTTGGAGACAGGGTCTCTTTCTGAGCCTGGATCTAGCCTCTGTCCCACAGTGCGACGTTATAGGTGATTGCATGACCGTGTCAGGTTTTTGGTTTCTAATGTGGTGTGCTAAGGATTTGAGCTCAGGACTCACGCTTGCATAGCAAGTGGTCTTACTTTTTTGTTTGTTTGTTAATTACAAAGACGGACTGGTGAGATGGGCCAACAGGTAAAGGCATTTGCTGCCAAGCCTGATGAACGTAGGCATGTGTGCCCAAATTAGCATGAGCATGCACACATACACAGACAATAAATAAATGCAGTTTTTAAATACCAAGGAAATGCTGAATATTTACCAATAATTTAGTATTTATCTGAATATCAGAATAAATAACGGCTTTTATTTTATAAATCCATGACTCATAGCTAGTCTTTTTGTTAAATATCCCCCCCCATCTCTAATATCTGTCTGTCTGTTGTCTGTCTGTGTATGTGTATGTGTGTGTACCACAGCATACATACATGTGGAGACAACATTTTACATTTAAAGATTATTTTAGACTGGGGATGTAGCTCAGTAGAGAAGCAGTGGCCTAACATGTACAACACACATGGATGTGCACATACATGTGTACTGGAGCTTACTTCCTGGCTGTTTTGGAACTTAGAGATTCATCTACCTCTGCCTTTTGAGCGCTTGGTTTCAAGCTATGTGATACAATGCCCAATAACTTTTCATAATTATATTTATTGATTTGCTTATGCCATTATTCAAGTAATTTTTAATCAGTAAATTTCAAAATTTTACCAATATAAATTATATTGTGACAAAAATCTTGGACATAAGTCTTTATATCTATCTCTATTTCTTGTTTTTAAAATAACTTTAAAAAAACTACGTGTGACAGAGAGAGACACAACAGTCAGACGGACAGATTATGGGCACACCTGTACCACAGCGCGTGCACGGAGGTGTGGGAACAATTTTCAGAAGTGAGTTCTCCCTTCATACCACAGGTTCTGTGGATCAAATGTAGCCTGTGTGACTTATGCAACAAGCGCTTTTACCCATCAAGCCAACTTGTAAGCTAAGGAAAGCGACCTAAGCTAGGGTAAAAATTAGACACATCCTAAGCTTCTTGATATATTTTATAAAATTGCCCACCGGGAAAGTTTTGCTATTGTGCACTCTCATGAGAAATCTAAGAGTGACTAAGGATAGCATTTTTAAAACATCTAAGATAATGAGGAATTTCCTAGCACTTCAATGGAAAGAACAAACTTAGATTTCTTAGCCTGAAATGAAAATTTACATGAGACTGTTAGAAAACATGTATTGAGAGATTAGAATGAAAAGGGCAGGTAAACATCCGATATAAAAATACAGGAAGTCTGTGCATTCTCTGTCACCCTCTGTCTCGCTCCCTCTCCCTTTGTGTATGTGTGTGTGTGTGTGTGTGTGTGTGCGCGCGCGCGTGTGTATATATGTACAATGCTAGGGATAGAACCTGAGGCTTTGTGCATACAGAGTGAGTGTTTTCCCACTGAATCACACTCACAGCCATTTTAGAAGACTATTTAATACTTGAATCTCTGAAAAGGACCTGAGAAATGTGAACCTGTGAATCTTACATGTCTCAATTGCACATTGGCTGGGTTCCTCTATTTCTTCACAGTGAAATAGCGTTCTTCTGCGTTGGAACAGACATTGTCTAGTGTGATAGAAAGAATAAGACAAAGGGATTTTGTTTTTCATTTGTTTGTGTTTTAGAAAAAATGAAAGGGGGGGCTGGAGAGATGGCTCAGGGGTTGAGGGCATTGCCTGCTCTTCCAAAGGTCCTGAGTTCAATTCCCAGCAACCACATGGTGGCTCATGGCCATCTGTGATGGGGTCTGGTGCCCTCTTCTGGCCTGCAGACATGCGCACGGACAGAATGTTGTATACATGGTAAATAAATAAAATATTTAAAAAAAAAGAAAAAATGAAAGTACACAATACCCTATTACCCTATAGTAGCATCACTCTGAGAATACTGCCCCTCATTATTACAGATTTAATACAAACTTGTATTGAAATATGACCACTAACTATTTTAGATTGAGAAGTACCTAACTTTTCTCTAAACAGAGGCCTATTAGTTACTTTTCTTCATATGCTGACAAAATTATTTAGGGAAGAAAAGGCTTATCATGTCCACAGTTCCAAGGTGCAGGGCCTCCTGGTGGGGAAATCATGGCTGCAAAAGCATGGGGCAGTTGGGCATATGCACCCATACACTGGAAACAAAGTATGAAGAGGGCAGAGGCTGGGGCTTTACTTCCTTTCTCCTTTTTAATTAATGTGGGACCAAGGAGGGGGTGCCACCCACAGTTATGGTGGGACTTAAGTTCTGAAGTTGTAATGAAAGACTTAACCTCCAACTGCCTGAGTTAAATATGTTCTGTGAGAGGTCTTTCAACTACATTGCTTTACTTTATTTGAGTTTAGATATTTCATATTGAATCTATAGCTCTTAGAACACAGTCCTATGAAATAATAATAATAATATTCTTGAACATGTTTGTGCACATCTGTATGTCCAGCACTCAGGAGGCTGAGCATTGAGAGTTTAAGGATAGCCTGGGCTATATACTGGTACACTGTCTTTAAAGAAAAGTTCAAAGGGTTGGAGAGATGGCTTAGCAGTTAAGAGCACTGATTCCAAAGGATCCAGGTTCAATTCCCAGCACCCACATGGTAGCTCACAACTGTCTGTAACTCTAGAATCCAACACTCTCATAAAGATATACATTCAGGCAAAACACTAGTGCATACAAAATAAAAAATAAATTTTATACACACACACACACACACACACACATATAAGAAAAACCCACATGAAACTGTTTTACATGATGTTTTGTAAGTAAGGAGAATTATTTTTGTCTTATTTTCTTTAAGGCTTCTCAGTCTTGGATTTGAAAAGTTCATCAGAGTTGGGAGTGTTAGGAAGATTGCCAAGCCAATCTTACCGTACAGGTGAGACTGCTAAATCCTAAAAGTCACAGAATATTCTAAGAAGTATGAAAATGGGTCCACCCCTACATCCATCCCATCTGTGATCTGCTGGAGCATTAGAGGCTGGGTGGTGGATGAACCCAGGGCTCCAGGATCTCCAAAGCACAGGGCAGCAGTGGGATGTCCAGGAAGAGTCCCAGTGAGGGCTCACCATTGATGGTGCAAGGGCCTCGAACCAGACCAATGATTCTTTGCAATGAACACCTTCATGTAAAAAATGTATGGATAAGGGGGTTTACTGCATGACTCACCGTGTCACATTGCAGCATCCACAATGAGATTTCCCTTTCCCCTTCTTCCTTTTTCCCCCTCCTTTTTCTCTTAAATTTTATTTTGATTTCATTTTTGGGGTGTTGGGGGAGAGAGATGGGTGGGATTGGGAGGCATGATGTGAAAGTCACAAAGAATAAATATGAAGAAAGTTTAAAAAAGGAAATATGAAAATGTTTTTCAACCTGAAATTTGGCCTTTGAGAAAGAGATAGCTTTAGTTAGATTAGGAAACCTAAGTAGAAATTCTAACTAGAAAGAGTAAGCCAAAGTAGATGTCGTGGTGCATGCCTTTAATTTTGGGTCTTGGGAGGCAGAAACAGGCGGTTCTCTGTGAGTTTGAAGTCAATATCATCTCCATAGCTAATCCCGGGACAGCTAGGACTAAACAGTGAGATCTTGTCTCAGGAAAGCAAAAACAAGTAAACAAACATAAAAAATCTAATCCACTTTATTCCTTGTGGTGTATAAGAGTATATGATGAGAATTGAAATAGGGGCTGGGGAGATGGCTCAGAGGTTAAGAACTGTGGCTGCTCTTCCAAAGGTCCTGAGTTCAGTTGCCAGTAACCACATGGTGGTTCACAACCATCCATGAGATCTCATGACCTCTTCTGTCCTGCAGGCATGTATGCAAGCAGAACACTGTGTGCATAATAAATAATCTCTTTTTTAAAAAAAGGAAATGAAATAAACAAGGAATATTCTTTCATGTTATTCAATTTCAGCTTGCATGCTGGCGCAGAAAATGAAAATGAACAATTGAAAGAACTCCATGCATTGATGAAGGAAGAACTGACTGCTATAGAAAGGGTTTATGTGAGAAAAAGTATTGAGCAGCACAAACTAGGGACCAATAGAACTCTGCTGAAGCAGGTGAGGTGAAATTGCTGATTTGTCTCTTGTGCTCAGATTGAGTCTCTTTAGTTGTGGGATGGATGATCTTAGATTCAACAAGTTGTGTGCCTTCTGTGTCCTTACATATCTTACCTACTGCATCTTTTGATTGCTGCAAACATTCTTCAAGTTTGTGGTGAACATCTTACCATGCCTTCAGCATTCTTTATTTTTCCTTTACATAGAAGCCTGAAGACAAAAATTGGAAGCTTTGAATAAGTTCTCGGTGAACTCGGTAAAAATTGTATTCTGGGAGAAAGAAAAAAGTTTTTACTATGGGTGAGATATCAAAGTGCAAATTTGTCTTTGATGTACTCCTAGAAAGCCAGGCCCCTGAGGATCTGTCTGTGCCCATGAATCCAAGTAGCACTCCACTTGCTCCCAGGCATTGGGTGCTAGGTGCCTGGGCTGTAATAAGTATTATCTCCTTGGTGAAGGGTTTTATGAATAGAATAGAAAGATTCAATGGCTTCATCTTATGAAAGTCGTACGTGAGAAACAGGACAATGGGTAAAGAAAAAGGAAAGTCATTGGCTCTCTTGGACCATGTGGATGTTGATCAATTTCTACAAAGAGATTTTGGGAAACCAGCCTATCCAAGACCTTGTCTTGGTCAGCTGTTGCTGAGGTCATGCTGCTGAACAACAGGATCTCAGGACAGCTTATGACTCCATGTCAGCTGCTGTGTCTCAGCTTAGACTGGGAGCCAGGCTTTTTCTTTGTTTAGTTTGCAAACGACCTTGTACTTAAAGCAGCACATGAGAGCAGGCTAGACCTTTAAAGCTTCTGCTCATGTCCTGTCCTCTACATTCTGTCTGCTCTAACTTATAAGGCATGTGTCAAACCTACATCAGTGAGGCCAGGAAGCAACCTCCACCTGCCTCCACCCGCCGCTCTGGTGGGGAGCAGTGCAAATGTGGTGGGCGTCACAGAAACTTTACAGGGAAAGCAAAGTGGGAAGTAATGACCAGTACATGCTAGATTTGCATTCTAGGAGCTCCCACGTTACTGTTTTTGTTTTTGTTATGGGGTCTTAACTGTGTAGTCCTGGCTGATCTGATTATATTATAATCTCAAAAAATGAATTTTTTAAAGATTTATTTATATATGTATATGTGTATTCAGATCACAAGGGACTACAGTTACAGATGGTTGTGAGACTCCATGTGGCTGTTGGGAATTGAACTCAGGACCTCTGGAAGAGCAAGCAGCTAGTGCTCTTAACTGCTGAGCCATCACTCTAGTCCTAAAAAGAAGTAATTTTTTAAAAATAGATCTTCTGTTTATTTGGACTGCTCTTGCTATCAGGCATCATTATACTATAGATAATAGGAAGGGAAATGGATGTGGATATATTCATAGCATTCAAACAATATATATGTGTATAACTCACAGATAATGGATCGATAACAATGTATAATTTTAAAAGTTCATAAATTTTTCTATTGCATATTATATAATTGTTAAGTATTAACCTTTCAAGCTTTGTGCCTTGAACTCAATGATGTTTTGATATAATACTTAAGGTTTATATAATTCAGATACACTAACGGGTAAGAAAGTACATTTGAAGTTTCTTTTATTTGAATCAAAGACTCACTATGTAGCCCAGTCTGCCCTTGAACTTCTGGTCCTCTTGCCTCAACCCCCTGAGCATTGGAATTACAGGCATGTCCTGCTTAGACAGCTACCTATTTAAGTAAACACAGTGCTATAGCGTTCAGAAGTTAAGCAAAGGCTGGTTTTGTTAACATATTCTGTGTTCTTTGTGGAAAACATGGATCAGTGTTAATAAAATATGTGTTCTGTTAATTCAGGCATACCTGGAAGATAAAGGAAAACATACGTCATCCTTGAAGCTTCCTGAACCATTTAATATGTTTCTTATGTTTAATATCAGAGTGAATGTGTTCTTGCTAATGACCTTATAAAGTAGCTTGTTTTCTGTAACACCTACTTTGTATGTGAGAGTAATGAAAATGTAGCAATAAAATGACAACTGATTTCTTATGAGCAGGAATCATAGGTTTGGTTAATAGTCTGGCTTAACCTTCAAGTTCTCCAGTAAATTCTTGATTTACTTTTAAAAGCCATTGGTTAGTGATATTTTTTTGTTTGTCTGGGCATGGTGACTCACAACCATAATCTCAACACTTTGGAGAGAGGCTGAGGTAGGTTTTGAGGCTAAGCATGGGCCACATAGTGCATTGTAAGCTAGCCTGGGCTATCTAGTCTTTGTCTCAAAAGCACATTTTTTTTCTTTTTTTAAATAAAGGTTCGAGTTGTTGGCATTACCTGTGCAGCCTGCCCATTCCCATGCATGAATGACCTTAAATTCCCTGTGGTTGTGCTGGATGAGTGCAGCCAGATGACAGAACCAGCCTCACTCCTTCCTATTGCAAGGTAACCCAAAAGACTCTTCCCAAAACACACACAAGTCAGTTATTTCAGACCTAACAGACACTTGTCAGAATTCTTAGCAATTCAGTTACTAACATTAGTTTTTTAAATAATAGAGAGAAACTTTTTGAAGTAAATATATTAAAATTTTGTAGACCTATAGTTTAGCCATTGGAATCACACAGTCCTTAAAGCCATAAGAGGATTAGTGCTAGGACCATTACAGGACTTCTCTGTTAGCTAGATTAGTGGTTCCTAACTCTACTGGGCAGTGTCCTCTGATTTCCTTTCTCTTGTATGATTTGATGGTTTAGCTTTTGAAAGTATTTTTTAAGCTTATGAAAGAATATAAAGAAAAGCACATTGAAAATGAAAATTTTTTCCCCAGAATTTTTAAAAAATGTTTATTATTATGTGTACAGTGTTCTGCCTACATGTATGCCTGCACACCAGAAGAGACACCAGGTCTCGTTAGAGATGGTTGTGAGCCACCATGTGGCTGCTGGGAATTGAACTCAGGACCTCTAGAAGAGCAGCCAGTGCTCTTAACCACTTGCCTTTGCTCCACCCCCGTCTCCAGAAATTTAGGAGTGTGAAATCTAAACATGGTTAATATGATTCCTGGGTTTAATCCCAGTACCATGGAGAATAAAAATAAGGCAACTCTAAGGAAGAGTCCACCACTGTAGGACCTGGAGACTTGCTCAGCCCCCAGTTCATCAGTCGGTAGGACACCAGCTGTTAGGGCTTGCCTGGGACTCTGGAGACTCCCGGGCATTTAGCTTTTCACTGAAATGTCACTGGGCAATCAGGCTGATTTGGTCACTCTCCAGCAACCAGGTGGAGGGTCACTGAGTCCCTGGGTGGAGCACAGAGTAGTAACAGTTCTGCTGTCTTCTAAGTAAATTGTGGCCTTCATTTGGTCCTTTAAACAGCCATGTGAGGAGTTTCTCCCTCCAGGAGATAAGAACGTGAAGCAAGGAGAGCCACAGATATGAAAGATAGGGTAGAGATTTGGATACAGGTTTGTCTGTGAACCTAGGACTTTCCCACACTGTCTTGCTCTTACTTAGACATTTTGTCCTACAGGCCTTGTTTATCTCACTTCTAAAATAGTTGAAGCCAAAGAATTAGATGACAGCTTTAGAGTTCCGGCGTCTTAAGATCACTGTTTCTCAAATGTGTTCTGTGAAACACTAACTCTATGTAGAAGCAAGGGACACCTAATATATTTTATGTGAAAAAAAATGTATGTTAAGTGAAAGTGTGTCCGTCCACATGGGTGTGTGTATCAGTGTTCACCCATGTGTATCAGATAGATGTGTATACATGTGAGGCCAGAGTAGACATCTAATGTATTCCTTTGTAGTTCTTCTTCACATTCTTTTCCTTTTCTAATTTTAACATTTTATTTTTTTTACTCTATTTTATGTGTATGAGTGTTTTGCTCATATGTCTGTGTACATGTGTGACCTGGAGTTGGTGGACAGTTGCTGCCCTGTGGGTGCTAGGAATCAAGCCTTGTCCTCTGCAAGAACAAGTGCTCCTACTCACTGAGCCATCTTTCCAGCTGTCTTCTTATTTTTTGAGGTAGGGTCTCACTGAAGCCACGGCTCACCATTTCAGCTGGTCTGGCAGTGAGTCCCCAGATCCTCCTGTCTCTAAGCCCCCAGTGGGTTTATACACTGCTGCTGTCCAGCTTTTATATGAAATGCCAGAGATCAAAGGCCTTAAAGCACTTTTCTACTCTGCCTAACCCAAGATTCTGTGAGGTAACATTTCAAAACCTTTAATATGCCGGCTAGCACCGTTGAACCTTGCTAGCTCTTAGAGCACTTTCTACATTTGAATTCTAAGAACACATTTCAGAAAGAGCAATGACTGATGTTAGTATACCTTTTCTCTTTGCTTAGATTAATTTTCTAAATTATTCCTTTTTAGGTTTGAGTGTGAAAAGTTAATTCTTGTTGGAGACCCCAAACAGCTGCCTCCTACAATTCAGGGTTCTGATGCAGTTCATGAAAATGGATTGGAACAAACTCTTTTTGATCGGCTTTGCTTAATGGCATGTACTCCTCACTACTTCAAGTTATTGATTGTATACTGTGAGGGTGGGTAAAGGACACGGTACCTTATCCTTGTTCTTAAATAGTTTGTAGTTGGAGGTCTTTGAAAAGTATTCATCTTATAGGCAGTGGAATCCTCTTGTCTAACATAGTTTAAATACAGAAGTGTTTCTCTGTGTGCGCCACCTTCCATTATCCATGAGTGTGAAGAGGAACAGTGAAGTGACGTTTCGTCACAGTACCCAGCAACCTCTACCTAGTTCTAATTTTTTCCCCTAATGGAAAAAAAAAAAAGGAATTTTCTGCAAATACTTAAATTTTTATTTATTTTTGTTAGCATGTAAAAATGCCTTTCACCTTGACATTTCACTCAAATGTGTTATGGTGGTCGGATGCTTAAAAGAAATCCCACACTCACTCAGAATCGAGAGATAGATAGTTATTCAGGGGTAAACCCACAAATCAGAATCCTCTGCTTGACCGGTTGAATCACGTGATCCAAAAGAGCAGCCAAGCAAGGGGAACGACAGAAGGGCCACACCCCAGTAGGTGGGTAAATATAAGCTGTAATACTTCCTACAGCACTCACAGAGCTCCGCCTGCCTATGCCTTCCGAGTGCTGGGATTAAAGAAATGTACCACCACTGCCAAGCTATGTATTTATATTTTTAAATTTATTTATTTATTAAGAAACTTCCAAACTGAGTTTTTATAGTTGCCAAATCTCTTTTCACTCCTGCAGCATGAGACCAAAGGGTGTCCTCCGCATGCTCACTGGCATTTATCACCATGTGTTTGCTTTAGTGGTTTTAGTTTTGTTTTTGAGATTGTACTTGTTTTTATACATACTGAGTGTTTGCCTGCATGTATGTCTGTACACCATGTATGTGCAGTGCCTGCAGGGGCGAGGAAAGGCATTGGGACTGGAGTTAAAGTCGTTAAGCTGCCATGTGGCAGCTGGGGATTGAACATTGCTCTTAACCGTGGCATTGCCTCTCCAGTCCCCTTCATGTGTTTTCTTGATGATAGTCATCCTGACTGTGAAATGGAATCTCAAAGCAGTTTTAATTTGCATTTCCCCCCTCCCTCCCCGCTCCCTGCTGCAGCCTTGTACCTGGTAAACCTCTGGTCTTGTTTCTGAGAAGGCTTCCTTCTGTTCTCTGAGCACTTGGCTCCTGTCCCTGGACACAGCTCTCTTCTCTTGGCATTGCTTGGTTTGTTTTAGTAACACCAGGAAGTTTTTTTTTTTTTAATTTTTATTTATTTATTATGTATATTCTCAGTATTCTGTCTGCATGTGTGCCTGCAGGCCAGAAGAGGGCACCAGATCTCACTACAGATGGCTGTGAGCCACCATGTGGTTGCTGGGAATTGAACTCAGGGCCTTTGGAAGAGCAGGCGGTGCTCTTAACCACTGAGCCATCTCTCCAGCCCCACCAGGAAGTTTTGCAGATAATTTTCTCCAGAAGCTCCCTGGAGTGGTGAGACTGGGATGCAAGGGCGCAGTAGTGAGAGCTGGAGCTGCTTTGCATATTCTGATGAAGCAGTGGCTGTACCAAGGAAGAAAGTGAACAAACTGTCAGTAACTATCTGTGGTAGCTGTGGTAGCAGGTGTTGACCTAGGGCCTGGTGGATAGTAGGCAACACTGTTGCCTTGGCCAAACACCACAGCCCTCTTTTCACTTGGCATTTTGAGACAGTGTCTAAGTTGGCTTAGAACTTCTTGTTTAGTCCAGATAGAGCTTGCACTTGTGATCTGCCTGCCTTATCCTCCCTAGAGCTGAGATCACAGGCGTGTATACTAGGCCTGCCTAATGTTAGAAGACCTTAACTACTAGACCAAACTCCAGGAGATTATAAAAGCACAATGTTGGCTTACTCTGCATTTTGGGTTTTATAGTCTGTGAACATACTTTATAATTTGTTTTAAAATATTTTATCTGTAGTCTGTTCTCTCATTGTTGTAACTTATCTAAGAACATGATGTAACATTAAAAACTTCTAAATATGATTTCTCTTTCTCTAGAGAAAAGAAAATACTGTCTTTTAATTTTTGTTTTCCCCCATCTAAATTTCTTAGGGTCACAAACCCATTCTGCTGAGAACCCAATACCGCTGTCACCCAGTCATCAGTGCCATAGCTAACGATCTGTTTTATGAAGGAAACCTCGTGAATGGCGTTTCAGAGACAGAGAGGAGCCCTGTACTGGAGTGGCTGCCCACGCTGTGTTTCTATAATGTTACCGGAGCAGAGCAGGTGAATGACATCAGTGTTGATGGGAATCACTACTTAATTTCTGGTTTAATTTTATTGTTGTTGTTTGCCTGGTTTCACTGAGTCTTCCTGTGGCCTTTCTGGGAAGATAATTTGAGATCTGTTTTTTACTCCAGGTTGAAAGAGAAAACAGCTTTCAAAATGTGGCAGAAGCTGCTTTTACACTCAAGTTAATCCAATCACTGATTGCGAGTGGAATAGCGGGCTCCATGATTGGGGTGATAACATTATACAAATCACAAATGTACAAGGTATGTGCTGCATAGGGTGATATTTGTCACATGTTAAGCATCATATTCTATAATATTTGGTTTTACGTTTGCAGTAGTTCACTTTGGTCCCTGAGACCTTTGGGACTGTCATGTGTATACTTACAAAAGAACATTCTGATGTATTTTCCTGGCCTGGATTTTTTCTGCATAACTCAATGTAAACCTAACAAGGTTTAATTAAATTCACTTTACAGCTGTTGAGACAAAATGCAAATAAACAGATTAGAGGAAGAAATGTGGTGTATGCTTTGTGTCTGGGGACAGATGGAATTGAGACTCTGTTTTTCAAAATGTTCTTGCATTATTATATTTCATCAGTAAATTAAGGATGTACAAAAGAGCTAGTTACTTCTAAGTAGATTTTTATAATCTTCTTTCTCTTAGTATTTTTCTTATTCATTATCAGCTTCTTATCAGTTCAAATTATCATATACAAATAAAATCCATGCAATAGGTTAATCATCACTCGGTTATGCTTCATAAATAAAAATAATGTCATTTTTAATTTTAGAGGCTTTTAACCTAAATCCTCATGAGTTATAAGAAAGATGTTCCTGAATTAGTTTGCTTCAAATGGTTGTGTTGACCAGTTTGGGGACTAGGTTCTTCATAATCTCTGTACTTTATGAGTCTGCTCCTTTCTCTGCAGATTTGCCATTTACTGAGCGCTGTGGACGCCGGCTATCCCGATGTTAAAGCTGTGCAGGTGTCCACAGTGGATGCCTTTCAGGGCGCTGAGAAGGAGATCATTATTCTGTCCTGCGTGAGGACAAGACAAGTAGGGTTCATTGACTCAGAAAAGCGAATGAATGTTGCGTTGACCAGAGGAAGAAGGCATTTGTTGATTGTGGGAAGCTTATCCTGTTTGAGGAAAAATCACCTATGGGGGCATGTGATCCAACACTGTGAAGGTAAAATAAAAATGTACTTATTTCAAGCATTTTTAATCAAAACTGACTTTGTGGGCTTAATTCCTGGGTGGTTTATGAGGAAAAGCTGGGGCCCATGTCCCTTGGGAGATGCCTGAGGGGACAATAACATGGAAGCCCCTGTAAAGAACAGTTCTTATGTTCTGTATCTCTTCAGGAAGGGAAGATGGATTGCAACATGCAAGCCAGTGTGAACCACAGCTGGACCGTCTTCTTAAAGATTATTTTGAAAAACAAGCAGAAGAAAAAGGAAAAAGAAAAATCTAAGGATAAATCTCATTAACAAAACCCACAACAACAAAAAACATGGCCAGGAGTATTGGTATTGTAAATTCAGAATTGTTTTATACTGTATATTTTTAATATTTTTCTTTACTGTAAAGCCTCTGATACAAAAAAGTTGCACTATTTAAACACCATGCTGAATAAGTGCATGTAAGAATTTGTTCTTTAAAGAGGGCTGCATTTTATATTAAGACAGGCAGATGTTTGTATGACAGGCAGATGTCTTGTTTGTGAAAGAAACCAATTTTAAAAAAGGTCAGAAAACCATTCCTGAGAATATCAGCATGCATAAACAATGTACAGTAGTATCTAAAGTTCATGTGCCGACAGCTCCAGTCCAGACCACTAGCAGAATCTTCTGAACTTGAAATACATGAATTGTTCCACCACTTAAAAACTAAAACAATTCGGGCTGGCGAGATGGCTCAGTGGTTAAGAGCATTGCCTGCTCTTCCGAAGGTCCTGAGTTCAATTCCCAGCAACCACATGGTGGCTCACAACCATCTGGAATGAGATCTGGTGCCCTCTTCTGGCCTGTAGGCTTAATAAATAAATAAATAAATATTTGAAAAAAAAAAAAAAAAAAAAAAAAAAACTAAAACAATTCGCAATAAAAAGTTAAAAAAAAAAAAACATGAAACAGAGAAGGTAGGCACAGCACTATACTGCATAGATACTTCTCCAGGGGGATGGACAGGATGGGCCACCGTTAGCGCTCTTCAAGTCTCCCCTGTGTGTTTATTTGCACAGTACTTACTGGTATATATGTGGAATAAATGGATAAAACCCTTTTTATTTTAAAGCTAACATATTCTCCTTACAGAAAAATATGCAAAATACAGAAGCTATGTGAAAGAAAAGAAAGTTACTTAGAAATTCACTATTCACTAATCATTAACAAATTGCTTTGGTCTTTCTATATTTATAGTCGCTCTAAAAATATATACATATAAGTATCAAACCACTTGAGTCCACATGATTCTTGACATTGTTTATAAAGGAATATATTGATATCCAGATGGAAAAAATGGCAAAGTCTTGATCATAATTGATATCATTGTGTTTATTTATAGCAAATAAAACATTTTAGTGACTGGCCTGAGTCATTCAGTATTTATTTAAGAATTATTTTAGAATTTAGAATACAGAAAAATGTTTCTTTGAATTTCTTAAATTTCCTTATAATAAAAACATACCAGTCTAGGGCCGGCAGGATGGTGCAGTGGGTGGAAGCACTGTGCACCCAGCTTCACAAGCTGAGTTCAGTCCTGGATCCCCTACTTGGTACACGGCAGGGAGAGCTGACTCCTGCAGGTTGTCCTCTGACCACACATGTGCTGTGACCCACAGGGCCCACCCTCACACAGATACTAAATAAATTAATGTAATAAAAATGGTAACTGGTTTGTTTATATTAAAAAATAACTGTCCCTGTGAATCTCTTATGTGAAAGGAAAAGTAAATCCATCCACACTTGTGGAAGAGCAACAGCTGCTCTTTTTCATTTGTGTGTGTGTGTGTGTACCCCTGCTCTCGCATATGTGTGCACGTGTGAGTGGGTCAGGTGACATGTGTCTGCTGTCACCCCTACATTAAGGTTCCCCTGAACCTACAGCTCATGGTTTTTTGGCTTGATTGGCAAACAGCAAAACCCTTTAATTCTCCTACTACTCCTGGTCTCTCTCAGTTCTGGAGTGAAGGACATGGGAGGTCACACGCAACCTGTCATGTAGGTGGTGGTACCCAAATTCTGGTCTTCATGGTTGCTCAGCAAGTGTTTTTACTGACTGAGCCATCTCCAACCCAGGAGTTATTCTTTTTAAGTGCTTGTCCACTTGTGAAGTAAAAGACTCCCCACATGTCTTTACAATGCATAAGGGATATTTGAGTATATCTAGCAAAATTATCTTCTAAAATTGACAGAGAAATTAACAAGCATTTCAAGACGGGCACAGACTAAACAAACAGATGACCACCAAGCCAGCACTGCAGAACATAATAAAGGAATCCCACACAGAAGAAGAAAATCGCAATCATGAGAGTACAGAAAAGAATAAAGTTCAGGAGAGGAATAGGTGAACAAGAGCAGCAAAAACAAAATAAAACCCAAATTAGTGAAGAATCAATTGTGTTCAACTCAGAGAACTCTACTACTACTAAGGAAACAGACAATAAAGACAATCAGTAATTGAAGCAAACAGGAAAACAACAAAAGTACAACAACCAGTCAGTCCCTCTCAGTAGTGCAAAATGTAAACTGCCTTTAAAAAGACCTAACTATTGGGCTGAACAACACCTCTTAGGAGGCCTTACCCCTCTGACGAGTAGAGGGGGTAAGGGGAGTAAGGGACAGAAGAAAGGGAGGAGGGGGAACTGGGGTTGGTATATAAAATGAGAAAAATTAAGTAAAATAAGAAAGAAAAGAAAAGCATCTCTCTGGCAGACATGCTGAGAGAGCACCAAATGATGGGAGTTGGTGCACCAAAGTTATGACTAACTCTGGTGAGGTGACCTCAGGCAAAACCATAAAAGAATGTCGTTGCATGTTACTGACGGGAGCAATTCATCCTGAAGATATAATAATGGTGTACTCAGGTTCACAAACATAACAACCACTCCTACTTATAAATGGCAGGTCTGTCCAGGTAAGTAATAGTGGGCAACTTCAACTTCAGTATCCCATTCTTATCAATCCAATTAGTCCATGTAAGACAAACTCATAGGCAGGAACCACGTGATCATCTCAATAGAGACAAAGGGGTGTTGGTTTTTGTTTTGTTTTGAGACATGGTTTCTCTGTATAGTCTTGGGTGTCCTGGAACTCACTGTGTAACCTGGCTGGCATTGAACTCGGAGATCCACCTGCCTCTGTTGGGATCCACCTCCCAAGTGTTGGGATTAAAAGTGTGCGCCACTAATCCAGCCTTATTTTTGCACTTTAATCTGTTATAATGCTTGAAATTTTAGTTACAACAATAACCCAATAAAAAGACACAGAAGAGATGAAAATCATAAAAAAAAAAAACAAATTATCCCTTTTGCAGATAATACTTAAAATGCCCAAAGACTCCCAGGAAACTTAGATCTGATAAACGCTTTCAGCAACTTAGATCTGATAAACGCTTTCAGCAAAGGAGCAGAATACAAATCAGCATTAAAAACTTAGTAAATTGTCTTTATATCAGTGAGAAAGCTTTCTAAGAAGTTCCAGGTTTAAAAAAAAAAATCCCATTCATAATAGCTTCAAAAACCACGAGGTATCTGGCTGAAGAGTTGGCTCAGTGGTTAAGATCACTTGCTGTTCTTGCAAAGGACCCAGAGTCTGGTCCCAACACCCCCATGGAGGCTCACCACTTCCTCAGGCACTAGGCATGCACACGGTGCACAGACATACATGCAGGCAAAGCACTCACACACACAAAATGTCTTTAAAAGCATCAGATTTCTAGGAATAAACCTGGAGAGTCAGTTTAGATCCAATCACTGGAAAAAGAGATGCACACACGTGCACAAACATAATGTTATTTCATTCATCAGTAGAGAAAGAACAAAATTATGACATTCCCAGTAAAAGAAGAGGACTGGAGATCGTCGTGTTAAATGCAACAAGCCAGATCCAGAAAGACAAGCATTTTTCTACTATAGCAGAATTTGGATTTTTAAAATAAATGACATGAGAGTTGAAGGTGGACTCTGTAGAACTATGTAGCAGAAGGTGTTTAAGGGGAGATGGGAGGAAATCAAGAGGGTAATGGGAGAAAGCCAAATAGTACAATTATAAGATATGTGCTTTATTTTGAGGCAGATCTCTACCTATCTGATATGGAAGGCCAAGGGAGACAATTTGGGGAGAAAGGGCCCACAGAAGAAAAGGGGTGATGGGTGAGTGGATATGGGTGAAGCTCAGTGATGAGTATACATGAGGATTTCATTAAAAAGCCCTTTATTTTGTATATAAACAAAAACCAATGGAGAAAATCCAATAGAAGGAAGGGAAGTCTGCAACGCTGTGATCGGGCATGCTACTTAAAGCAAGGAATAATGGCTAACTGGAGTATATTAGTAGCTGAGCTGGTTATTCTTACAATTCTCAGGATTTGATAATCAAGTGGTTTAAAGACAACATGTTTGTTTTATGATTCTCTCTGCAGCCAATCCTGTGTTTGGAAGCATATATTAGAAATTAAATTCCGAAGTTACAAAGCACAGTTTTAGACAGCAACATAAAACATAACTTTTGGCATTATTCTTTCACGTTTGAGCAAACGTGTTTGGTTTTAATATGCCAAGGCAAGCCCCTGAGGCTGCATGCTCTCAACTACAGTTTAATTTGAAGGCAGCTGTGAAGTAGCTTTATACTAATTAGATTTTTTTATATTAAATAAGAATGAACTGGAAATTGGTGATTTACTTGACAGATAATTGGGCTTTGAAAATTAAATAATTGCTCTAAAAACATTAACTCAGCACTGATTTGAAATGCCTGCCTCGTTATTACTCATGAGCAGAAAGTAAGTTTGGGCCAAGTTATATTAATATGACTTGATTATACAGCCAAGGAAAAATAGTGCCCACTGCTCCCTAATCCTCCATTCTTTCCACCCAGAAACACTAGTTGTGTCAATTAAAATCTAAACCTTTTCTGTTAGTCTCTGACATTATTGGTTTTCCTTAATTTTCTGCTCTTTAATTAGAGAAATCTGAGTGGGGACAAATAAGTGTGTGTGATTGTGTGTTCCACGTGTGTAAAAATTAGGAAGTGAGCAACAGAATAGTGTAGTTCAAGTCTCCATGGCAGTCTGTTTTATGGATGAGGGACTGGTTACTTGCTACTCTAACCTCAGCGCCTGGGGCAAGGTATACTCTCCCTTACAGAGAGACTTCCAAGCATTCTAGAAGCACAGATTCTGGGCTCTGTTCCCTCTGGGATTATGCCCTTCTTTTCCTCCTCCTCCTTCTCCTCTTTTTCTTCTTTCCCATTCTTTAATATATACTGCCGGGGACTGGAAAGATGACTCAGAAGAGAACTGGTTGCTTTTCCAGAGGACCCAGGATCAATTTCCAGTACCCACATGGCAGCTCCCAACCTTCTATAACTCCAGTTCCAAGGCTTCTGACTCCCTCTTCTGGTCTTTGTGGTCACATGCACATAGTGCACAGACACACATGCAAGCAAACACTCATGTACTGTAAAATTAATTCATTTTTAAAAATTGCTCTGTGTATGTGAGAATGAGAGAGACACACACAAGAGAGATCAAGTAGAGATCAAATGGCATCTTTTATTGTCCTTGTGGCTCCTTTTAGGTATTATAGGACCTAGGAGATATCTGGTATTTTGACTGGATGATGATAACCTTCTTGGGCAACATGGTGCCATTAAATAGACACAGAATCAGGGCATAGCAAAAATGTAATAAACAGCA